TGGCTATATTCTGCACTCAGTTCACTAACAAGGGTGAATCCCTATCCAAGCCCTTATGCACAGGGCTTGCATACAACCTATGCATATCTTCCCATAGGCTTCAAATCTTCACTGGCTTACTTATAATACCTACAACTCACATGTCATATAAATAGTTGTTATGCTGTATCGTTCAGGAAATCAGATATCATCATCCTGATAGGACATGACAGTGTACAGGCAGACACGGTGCTGGAGAAGGCGCTGAGAGTCCTACATCTTGATCCAAAGGCAACAGGAAGTGAACTGTGTGACTGGGCAGTAGCTTGAGCATAGGCTACCTCAAAGCCCACCCCTACAGTGATACACTTCCTCCAACAAAGCCACTTCCTAACAGTGCCTTTCCCTATTAGTTCTGGGGGGACTGTAGTCAGAGACTGCTCATTCGTTCCTGGGTGCTAAGATCCGAATAATCACACAGAAACTATATTAATTATAACACTGCTTGGTACATTAGCCCAGGCTTCTTACTAACCATGACAATAATGAACTAAACCTCTGAACTATAAGTGAGCCACCCTAATTAGATGTTCCCTTTATTAGAATTGTTGTGGTCATGGTGTCTCCACAGCAACAGAAAACGTACTAATACAGCAACAACACATGGGCATCCTATTGGGATCTAGAAACAGAAGGGAGTGCAGCCAAAACACCATCAGAAGGATGCACTGGCAGGGACGAGGGCTTTATCCGGGATGTCCAATGAACAGACGATGTGGGGCAGGGCAACTGCTTTAGGAAAGCATAGTTTGAGAAATTTCAGAGATCTATGCCAGTTGGTGATCTTGTTTCCTGGCCCAGGGATGATGAAGGCAGAGAAGTTTCCCTGAGGTGTGGCTCAGGATGAATTAGTCTGTATGACGTGGGCAAGCTTCAGCCAAACCTCACCAGTTCTAAGAACTGACTCCAGGAGAAGCAAGAAAGGTTAATTATCTGTGCACCCTAAACTGCTATGGGCTTCTTAGTAACTTAGTTTCTTTGTCTTGGATGTACTTGATTTTTGACTTATCTTAAAACCTCACATCAAACTCATCTTTTCCGAGTCTGAAGCCCTGATGATGCAGAGTTAATAGGTTTTCTGAAGTCATAAGCTTGTGACTACAGCTGTACTTAATCTGACTTAAGCTGTACTTAATCTTAAGCTGGTTAATCTCTCCCTCTCCTCTACGTGACAAGACACTTTGAAGGCCAGGAAGCGAGAAGAGGTGCTTGAATGAATGAATGAAGGAAGGAACAAATGAAAGAAATCCTCCCTATTCCAGAGACAGTACCCACACCCCCTCTTTCTTTACTCTGCATCAAGAACCAAATCTCCAGCACGGGGTGGCCACAGCTCCTTCCTTGCCACCACTACTGTGCTGTGACCACTACTGGGGCCTTGTGGTGAGGCTGGAAGAGCCGAAGGGGCCCAGGATCTGCGACAGTCACTTACTGAGACCATTATAAATATTTTATGAAATTAATTCATTAGCAAAACAGAATATAAATTTTGAGATTTTAAGCTAATATAATAATTTAGGGCTAAAAATTAAGACCATCAAGACTCCTAGGTTACTTACTAGTTTAAGCATTTTGCTTACTTTTGTGTGTGTGGTGCTGCAGATCAGACCCAGGACATCAGGTATGTTAGGTGTGATTGCTCTTCTAGATTGCCAACTTGACTACATCTGGGGTAAGTAAACCCTACGCGGTTGTGCACACCTGTGAGGCTTTTCCTTAATCAGTTCAAGTGTGAAGCCCCACTTGTAACGTGGATCTCTGAGATGGGAAGATCCCCCTGTAATCTGGACCACACCTTCGGCTGGCGGCCTGTATAAAGGACGTGGGACAACGAAGCTGGCATTAGAGCCTAATTCCTTACTAAGACCAGCTAAGACATCCAGATTGTGTAAAGAATAACACTGGGTTCTTGGACCATTTCCTGGTGGGCAGCCATTGCTGGACCAGCTGGACCAACATCTGTGAGCCATTCTAATATCCCTCCTCTGTCTATTCAATACATACATATCATTCCGTAAGTCCCGTTCCTCTGGAGAACCCTATCACACCAGGCAAGTGTTCTACCACTGAGCTATACCCCAGTCTCCTGTTGTAAGGGTATCTTGATATAAACCAGTATCTTAATATGCTAATCTCTGGGACCCCCCGAGTGGTGAGGGAAGGGAAGGGTACTAATCTCTGCCCCCCGAGTGGTGAGGGAAGGGAAGGGTACTAATCTCTGGGACACCCCAAGTGGTGAGGGAAGGGAAGGGTACTAATCTCTGGGCCCCCCCGAGTGGTGAGGGAAGGGAAGGGTACTAATCTCTGGGCCCCCCCGAGTGGTGAGGGAAGGGAAGGGTACTAATCTCTGGGACACCCCAAGTGGTGAGGGAAGGGAAGGGTACTAATCTCTGCCCCCCCGAGTGGTGAGGGAAGGGAAGGGTACTAATCTCTGGGACACCCCGAGTGGTGAGGGAAGGGAAGGGTACTAATCTCTGCCCCCCCCCCCAAGTGGTGAGGGAAGGGAAGGGTACTAATCTCTGGGACACCCCAAGTGGTGAGGGAACGGAAGGGTACTAATCTCTGGGCCCCCCCGAGTGGTGAGGGAAGGGAACGGTACTAATATCTGCCCCCCCCCGAGTGGTGAGGGAAGGGAAGGGTACTAATATCTGCCCCCCCGAGTGGTGAGGGAAGGGAAGGGTACTAATATCTGCCCCCCCCCCCGAGTGGTGAGGGAAGGGAAGGGTACTAATATCTGCTCCCCTGAGTGGTGAGGGAAGGGAAGGGTACTAATATCTGCCCCCCCCCCCGAGTGGTGAGGGAAGGGAAGGGTACTAATCTCTGCCCCCCCCCCCCCCCGAGTGGTGAGGGGAGGGAAGGGTACTAATCTCTGGGACACCCCGAGTGGTGAGGAAAGGCTACCATCTCTGGTAAAGATGTAGTAACTTCCTGGAGAGTTCGCAGCTGCTTCTGGTATCCAGCACATCTTCATTAAGCCACTCAGCTTACGGCTCTGTGACTTGGATTTATTTCCCCTCAGACGATACTGGTTGATATTTACACACAGGAGAAAGACACAGGCTTCCTGCTTGAAAGCACTTCAGTTAAAGTGAAAGCATCCCCACTCGGGTTCCCAGCCTGGCCTCCTCCAACAGCAGCAGCCTGTTTACACAGGGTTTTGGGGGATTGCCTATCTCTGAGAAGCACACAAGTACACAACAGCTTAAAGGAGCCCCTAGGGCTGTTTCCCCATGAGCGGACAGAGCGAAACTGTTACTGTGCTACAGAAATGTACAAAAGGAAAGGAAACAGTTGAAGCAGGCCCTAGCACCAGCGGCTGCCACACTGCAACAGGAACACAGGATCTAAGCAAGGGATGAAGAAACACACAACACTAATTCAGAGTGGATTTTAAGGGTTTTCCCCTTTCCATTCTCAGCAGTGCAGAACCAGACCCTGTATGCTGACATTTACTTAGCAGTAACTATTTACTGTGGAGTGGGGGCTGACTCTGTGCTGTGAGTGTGGAGTGGGGGCTGACTCTGTGCTGTGGGTGTGGAGTGGGGGCTGACTCTGTGCTGTGGGTGTGGAGTGGGGGCTGACTCTGTGCTGTGGGTGTGGAGTGGGGGCTGACACTGTGGGTGTGGAGTGGGGGCTGACTCTGTGCTGTGGGTGTGGAGTGGGGGCTGACACTGTGGGTGTGGAGTGGGTGCTGACTCTGTGCTGTGGGTGTGGAGTGGGGGCTGACTCTGTGCTGTGAGTGTGGAGTGGGGGCTGACTCTGTGCTGTGGGTGTGGAGTGGGGGCTGACTCTGTGCTGTAGGTGTGGAGTTGGGGCTGACACTGTGGGTGTGGAGTGGGGGCTGACTCTGTGCTGTAGGTGTGGAGTGGGGGCTGACACTGTGGGTGTGGAGTGGGGGCTGACTCTGTGCTGTGGGTGTGGAGTGGGGGCTGACTCTGTGCTGTGGGTGTGGAGTGGGGGCTGACTCTGTGCTGTAGGTGTGGAGTGGGGGCTGACACTGTGGGTGTGGAGTGGGGGCTGACTCTGTGGGTGTGGAGTGGGGGCTGACTCTGTGCTGTGGGTGTGGAGTGGGGGCTGACACTGTGGGTGTGGAGTGGGGGCTGACTCTGTGGGTGTGGAGTGGGGGCTGACTCTGTGCTGTGGGTGTGGAGTGGGGGCTGACTCTGTGCTGTGGGTGTGGAGTGGGGGCTGACTCTGTGCTGTAGGTCGTTTTAAAACTCTTCGCTGCCTCATGTAGCACCTCTGTGGCTTTTATAAAGATATCCTGCCATGGGGTCCTTCAGAAACCACAGTTCCAGTGACCCAGCTTTTTATTCCTTTTTTTCTCTGCTCAGTCATCCAAAAACTAAGGGAAAATGAAAGATCCAGCTTGGGCGGCGGCTGGATCCCCTGCCCTGACACACGGCATTCTTGAATGCTAGGTCTTCTGAGTACATAAGTCAAAAAGGAAATAGAAGTGTAAATGATTTATTACACATTTTCAATTAGTAACTAGATACAGCACACACAGTATTGCACCACTGTAGAGAGTAGTCAAGATGCCGGCTCTGGAATGTGGAATTATCTTACAGTACCAGGCTCCTCTACGTTATGGCAGGACACAGACAGACTACTTAAGAGTATCTTGAGGAGAAAAACAGAAAAGAGAAAATGACTAACTATATGGTTTAGAACTTATTTTAACTGTATTTATTTTGTTTTTTGAGACAGGATTTTTCTGTATACCCCCAGCTGTCCTAGAACTCACTCTGTTTAGGCTGGCCTTGAACCCAGAGATCCCTCTGTCTCTGCCTTGTGAGTGCTGGGGTTAAAGGTGTGCACCACCACTGTCAGGCTACTGGTATTTTGAATCCATTTATTTCCTTATTAAAAATAAGATAGTAGGCTAGGTGGTGGTGCCCACACACCTTTAATCCCAGCACTCGGGAGGGAGAGGCGGGCAAATCTCTGAGTTTGAGGCTAGCCTGGTCTACAGCGTGAGTTCCAGGGTTACACAGGAAACTCTGTCTCCAAAAATGAAACAAAACTAAACAAAACAAAAAAACCAAAAAATAAGCTACTGACTTATGAAGCGTAAATTTGCCTTCAATAAACTGGTCAATATAACAAGGAATATTTATAGTCTGTTATTTATAGTATTCATTCATAACTGAAAAGCAGCACTTTGGAAGAGTACTCTTAAAATATTAAAATGTGTGAAAAATTCTACATTGGGAAAAAAAATCACGCAGTTTAAAATATGAAGAAGGATGCTTAAAAGAAATCCCACACTAGCTCAGAACTGAGAATAATAGATGGTTATTTATTTAGGGGTAGACTCACAAATGAATATCCTCTGCTTGAATGGAGAACAGCAACCGAATCCCGCACCAGAAGAGAGGCTGGACGCACCCTTTACGTGGGCATAAATAGTAGAAGAGGTCACGCCCTAGTGGGCGGACAACTTAAAGGCTACTACTGGCTGTAGGATTTCCTACAGCATCAATAAATGTAAATAACACGAGAGAGCACGCTCGTACCAGGCTGTAATGCACCATATCATTCTGTCCAATAGAAACCCGCCCACCCACAAACAGGGGTGACTGCAGCAGTAATAATACAAGCCAGAAATGTTAAGTAAATTTGAAAGTATCTTTAAATGTTTATTTTATTATAAATATAAGTAAAACATGCAAATACTGCACTAAACACTAGCTCTGAACCTAGAATCAACTAGATTTGTCACTCTGAGAAAACGTAGGCCGACCAGTGTCCTGATGATAACAAGTGACGGCGGCGAGCTTGTCATCACGTCCGACCACAGAAAGCCGCACACTTCTCTTTCCTCCTTCCTTCCCTTTATCTGTCCTATGGTCAGTGCCAATGTAATACTTAGTAAATTAAATACAATACATAATGGGGAAATAGTACTCTCTACTATATTTCATATTTACAAGCTATAAAAATAAGTTTTTCTGTATATAAAAAAATGAAAGAATAATATGTATTACAAGTTTTTTGGTTTTTCGAGACAGGGTTTCTCCGTAGCTTTGGAGCCTGTCCTAGAACTCCCTTTGTAGACCAGGCTGGCCTCGAACTCACAGAGATCCGCCTGCCTCTGCCTCCCGAGTGCTGGGATTAAAGGCGCCACCACCGCCCGGCTTACAAGTTTTAAAAAGTATAACTGACATCATGGCTCGTGCCACAATTATACCCAGTCCGTAAGTTCTGTAGGCACAGGTCAGATAAGAAATCTCTCATCCACTAGCGTTTTGGTTGCCAAATTCTTTTGTCCTACTATATTGCGGATAAATCGAAAAATCTGGAAAAATAAAACAGTTGAGAAGGAAATTAAAGATTCATAAAAAATTAAATATGCAATTCAATTTTAAATATCTAAATTAGTCAATTTTCTCAACCCTTTCTTGTCACGAATGAGTATTTTAATTACTTGATGCAATCATTTTTAAACTATAAAATATTAGGAAATACTTTTATGAATTAATATATACCCCTCATATTCACAAGAACATACTTTTAAATACTTAAGGAAATTTTTTAACTGTCTAAAACTAAAGAATCATCAAAAGCATGTCCTTGGTAAAGACAGAATTTGTGCCTGATTCTAGACATCTATCCAGGAATAATAAAGCAGGCCCTAAGGCACGCCTTCCTTCATGCAGGTGGTATTTCAGGAGCAGCTGCCATCTCGTGAACTTTCCTTCTCAGAGGTTTTACCCACACAGTTCTTTACTATGCACATAGGTGAGGTTGTGTGAGCTGGTGGTGTACAGCCCTGAATGGCGTCTCTAGGGCTTTCTGTTTTTGTGTGAATGGGACTCATAATAACTAGCGCTCACTTTTGGCATGTAGGAGACTGGTAGCTAAGTATCTTCCTGGTTGCTCAAGGAACTTCTGCCCTCAAGTGGATCCTGGCATTTTACTGTCCCCAGGGACAGAGTGCAGAGTGTGATCTCCTGAATGGCTCCTCCTTTTCTTGGCAGGGTTGATCATATTCCAAACATGCCCGAAACCTGGTCATACATTCTTTAAGAATATAAATACCAGAGGGAGGAGGGATTATATGGGCAAAGGGGTCAAGACCATGATGGGAAAAGCCACAGAGACAGCTGACCCGAGCTAGTGGGAGTTCACGGACTCTGGACTGACAGCTGGGGAACCTGCATGAGACTGAACTGGGCCCTCTGAATGTGGGGGACAGTTGTGTGGCAGTAGAACCAGGATTTACCCTAGTGCATGAACTGGCTCTTTGGAGCCCATTCCCTGCGGAGTGACACCTTGCTCAGCCCTGATACAGTGAGGGGGAGCTTGGTCCTGCCTCAATCTGATATGCCAGACTTTGTTGACTCCCCATGGAAGGCCTTACCCTTTCTGAGGAGTGGATGGGAGGTTGACTGGGAGAGCAGGATGAGGGGAAGAAGGGAGAACTGTGGTTGGTATGTAAAATGAAAAAAAAATTTTAAATAAAATAGAAAAGAAAAATACCCACACTTCTAACACTCTGCTTTAGAGGAACCCAGAATATGTGTGGAGATTTACCTCTTGCTGCAGGTACGTGAGGAAGGACGCTAAAACAAAATTCTGGCAAGCCAAGTCCACAACACAGAAGAACAACAGATCAAAGATAAGGAGCGTGGCCTCGTTTCCATAATACAGCACGCTGCTGAAAGAATGGCCTTCGTCTGCAAAACCACGCATAAGATCCAGAGTCAGGTTAAAGTCCTGCAAGGCTGGCACAAGGGTTCTAGAGTTTCTGCCTCAGTTTCCTACAGTTTTGTCTCTCTTTGTACTGCACTGCACTGCACACACAACCCTGTCCTTTGTGGGATGGGAACACCCTGTCAAACACCTGATCAGTGCTGCAGACCCCGTTACCATGGGAAAACTATCAACAGACAGGCACAAGTGCTATCCACAATTTAGGGGTTCAGAGAACCAACACTGCCAGGGAAGTCCAGCAAGGGCCTGTTTAGTATAAGGTGGTGACGTCGGGAACTGGGCCTGTTTAATACAAGGTGGTGACGTCAGAACTGGGCCTGTTTAATACAGGTGGTGACGTCAGGGAACTGGGCCTGTTTAATACAGGTGGTGACGTCAGAACTGGCGCCATCTGTCACACTGCAGGAGCTAGGAACGAGAATGATCCAGCTTGTGGAAAGTCACTGAGCTGTTAGCAAGACCCTTACAATGTATGCACGTCTCTACATACACACAGGCTCCTTTCTTCTTTGTTGATGAGATCTCATCATGGCACTCAGGCTGACCTGAGACTTGAGGAGATGGAATTACAGGGTGCCAGGCCCAGCTTTGTTTAATTTTTCTTTGCTATTGCCTTTCCACCAACATTTCTGGTAAACCCCTAATCTCCTCTCCTGACATCTACTCATAACACCCCTCTCCTGGCACCTACCCATAACACCCCTCTCCTGGCACCTACCCATAACTCCCCTCTCCTGTCACCCTACCCACAACACCCCTCTCCTGGCACCTACCCATAACTCCCCTCTTCTGGCACCTACCCATAACACCCCTCTCCTGGCCTCTATCCATAACATCCCGGGCACCTATCCACAACACCCCTCTCCTGGCACCTACCCATAACACCCCTCTCCTGTCACCTACCCATAACACCCCTCTCCTGTCACCTACCCATAACACCCCTCTCCTGTCACCTACTCATAACACCCCTCTCCTGTCACCTACTCATAACGCCCTTCTCCTGTCACCTACCCATAACACCCCTCTCCAGTCACTTACCCATAATTCTCCTCTCCTGGCCTCTATCCATAACATCCCTCTCCTGGCACCTACCCACAACACCCCTCTCCTGGCACCTACCCATAACACCCCTCTCCTGTCACCTACTCATATTCTGCTTTAGGTTCTTTATATGTGAAAATTCTGAAAACCCTTTAGAAGGTCATACCAAGTTTAGAGTGAAGGGGATTTAAATATTCAGAAAGGTTAAACAACACTTTGAAGTTCACAAAGTGTGTCTCTAGCAGGTGTCGAGTTGGGCTTTAACCTCAGGGCAGAAGACTCTGAAGCTGTATTCTTAATGCCTGGCTCATTTCTTTAACTCAGCCTGCACCATGCTCCAGAGTATAATGCGTTACAGACATCAGTAGCCGTGCTCACGAGCAGTGGCTTCTAAACTGCTTTCACCATGTGCCTCACCAAAATAAAATGGAACACAGGAACGACTATAGTCCCATGAGGCTGAGTTAACAAAGTTCTCTTGTTTCTATAAAATTACAAAAATCAATAAGAAAACGACTTAAGCTCCCCCCGCCTCCCCAAATGTGCAAGGGTTGAGGAGTCACCGTTGTAGAAGATGCTCCTCTCCATGGGTTCCATGAACTCCATCCCCAGGACCCGCTCCAGAAGCAGCTTATCTTTTATAAAGTAATCCATTTCCTTATGAACCTGGTTTGAGACGACAGTCATGTAAAAAACTGTAATGAAATAAGTGTTTTCCAATGAACGCAAAATGAGAAGCAGAAAAAAAATGAGGAATGAATAATATATAAGAGAAACTTCCGTAAAATGAATCACTACACTAATATTTATAATAAAAATATTTTTAGAAAAGTTTTAAATCTTAAATTCTGTGAATATATTGAAGGTTAGAGATACTGGAAATTGATTTATAGATGCCTTTAAGAATACAATCATAGTGTAAGCATTTCAATGAGTAATAAATAACATTTTGGTGACATAAAATTCTAGTACAGACATATTTAAGAGGACCATAATTTGCTAATGGGCACATTAAATTCACATCTTTTATACACTCTAACTTTCTCTTGAAACCATACATTGTTAGTGACTGTAAATGTCTTAAAATATTATTTGTAAGTATTAAATGAGACAGAAAGCAAAACCACACAGCTGACACAGCTGAAACTATAACTGGACCCCATTTAACTTCTCAAAAGCAACAGACGACCCTTGCTTACAGACACACCAGCATACATACGTGATCAATGAAAGAGCCAAGGAACTTATTCATTGCGTGGTACGCTTTTACACTTTGTTCGAAAGTGCTTGCTGATGAACTCAGTAACCTGGCGGGGCCATTTCTCTAATATGAAAAAGAGAAATGTATAACTATAACATCACACTTTGCTATACACACACACACACACACACACACACACACACACACATACACACTGTGGAAACACGCGCGAACAATCCTTTACAAACCCTTGTTAGTGTTTCATGGATTCTGTCATAGTGCTGTCTCATCTGATCAGAAACTGCAATCTGGAAAGTCTGCCCGTCCGTGTTGGGTACCAAACCTCTTTGGCTGCACAAATTTTCCTGAAAAATTTAAAGAATTTACATTAAGATAAAAACAACTGCAAAAGGCCTCTCTTAGAAAGAGAAGTACACCATTTTCTTTAGCTGGTGTCACATGTTACGAGACTGATTAACCTGGTGGAATTTGGCTGATGCTAACTTGAGACAAAGATTCTAATGTCACTCAAGGTCCCCCCATCCCTCCAGATTTGGCCATGTTCCCTGCACTCTTACCTCAGCTCCCCTATAGGTCTCCACGGTGACTCCTCTACTCTGCTACCTACACTGCCCGGTTCACTGTGTATTTGGCCAGACTCCTGTATTCAGGGTCTTGAACTGGTATCCCTGCAGCTCTCAAAACACCTGTGAGCATTTCAGGTTCACTTTAACATGGGGAAGACATGAACTGTATTCCTACCGCTTCTCTTTTGAGGTTCATGTTCATCTCCTCCATGTTCGTGTCTGCGTGTCCGTGCACTGATCTCCCGTGGATGTAATACCCGAAACACCGGTGCGACAGCAGAAACACGGACACCTACAGAAGGAGAAGAAATCAGAGGCTCATCCACAAAACTCCAAACCAAGTTTTTGTTCAAATCATTCCCCCCTCCAAAAGAATTAAGTCTGACTGTTTAGGAAGTACATAAAATGGAAACCAGGGTAGTGATGATAATAAAGGTTTTGTTTTGTTTTGTTTTTATAGATGGAAAGAAGACAGGTTTTCTAAAAAAGGAAGACATTCTGAAATATATATACATTTCAGGGGCTGTAGGATGAATAAATTATTAATTATTCATAATTAAGAAATGTGGATAAAGAAGAGAAAAGCTAAAGTAGGAATATTAACTTGTGGAACATTGTATCTGTTCTTCAGATTAAAAGCTGGTTGAAAATTAGATTAATAACCCAATCATCACAGACCAACTTGATAAACTGCAATAGCACCGTTCTGTCAGATGTGCACACACTGCAGTCATCTGTAAACACACCGCGTCTGTCAGGTGTGCACACTGCAGTCATCTGTAAACACACCGCGTCTGTCAGGTGTGCACACACTGCAGTCATCTGTAAACACACCGCGTCTGTCAGGTGTGCACACTGCAGTCATCTGTAAACACACCGCGTCTGTCAGGTGTGCACACACTGCGGTCATCTGTAAACACACCGCGTCTGTCAGGTGTGCACACACTGCAGTCATCTGTAAACACACTGCGTCTGTCAGGTGTGCACACTGCAGTCATCTGTAAACACACCGTGTCTGTCAGGTGCGCACACTGCAGTCATCTGTAAACACACCGCGTCTGTCAGGTGCGCACACTGCAGTCATCTGTAAACACACCGCGTCTGTCAGGTGCGCACACTGCAGTCATCTGTAAACACACCACGTCTGTCAGGTGTGCACACACTGCAGTCATCTGTAAACACACCACGTCTGTCAGGTGTGCACACACTGCAGTCATCTGTAAACACACCGCGTCTGTCAGGTGTGCACACACTGCAGTCATCTGTAAACACACTGCGTCTGTCAGGTGTGCACACACTGCAGTCATCTGTAAACACACCGCGTCTGTCAGGTGTGCACACACTGCAGTCATCTGTAAACACACCGCGTCTGTCAGGTGTGCACACACTGCGGTCATCTGTAAACACACCGCGTCTTTGCAGATAGACACCCACAGCTGCAGACGGTCGGAAGGTACTCACATTGCTCATGGAGCACAGGTCGACGAACTGCCGGATTTTGTCTTCTACAAATCGCTCATAAAAGGCCCCAAAGAAGAAAACCTGAAACAGTCAGTCAGGCCATGAGTGTCTGCCAGCCAAGCATACAGTGGCTCTAAAGGTTTCCACAGGATAACATCCCACTTGTCAGTTCTGACTCTAACCTCAAAGGAAGGGAGATTCAGAACTACGCTAGGAGTTACTGAGTGAGTCCAGTTTGAATTTTCAAAACTTCTCTTGCTAACGAAACAAGGACAGACAAGGGTAGGAAGAGAGTGACTTACAAAGTTAGCATATATTAGTGCTGGGGAGAGGGCTCAGTATATAAGAGGCCCTGAGGGGGCTGGAGAGATGGCTCAGTGGTTAAGAGCACCGCCTGCTCTTCCAAAGGTCCTGAGTTCAATTCCCAGCAACCACATGGTGGCTCACAACCATCTGTAATGAGATCTGGTGCCCTCTTCTGGCCTGCAGGCAGAGTACTGAGAATACTGTATAAATAATAAATAAATAAATCTAAAAAAAAAAAAAGAGGCCTGAGTCAGGATCCCCAGCAGCCACAGCAGAAGGCTGGTGTGGAGGCAAGCAGCTAACCTCAGCACAACGGTGGAGAGAGGCGGGTCCCCACTCACTGAGAGACCCTCAAGAAGTAGTAGCTGAAGGAGACACTGGATTTTGATATTCGGCTCACACATGTACACATACAGATGTACACCTACGTGTGCATGCTTATACAAACAGGTCTGTATACCACCCACTCACACATATACATGATGTACACCTACGTGCGCACGCTTATACAAACAGGTATGTATACCACCCACTCACACATACAAATGATGTACATCTACGTACACACGCTTATACAAACAGGTCTGCATACCACCCACTCACACATTTGAATAAGTCAGTGTATTGCTGGTCAAGATAAAAGTTTACTTTCCCAATTTTTCTCAAATTTTTTGAGAAATTGTGAATTTCAAAAGCCATTAAAAACTTTATGAATTTCAAATTAATTCTGAACAGAATAGCATATAAAAACATATTTAACATTAAATTTTAACTATTGGTAATACATTTCTTTTAAATGAAATACTTTTAAGTGTTTAATTGTATAGGCTTAATAGCAATAATACGTAAGGAAATTTTATGAATTAAAGTTTCAATTATAGCCGGGCGGTGGTGGCGCACGCCTTTAATCCTAGTACTCGGGAGGCAGAGGCAGGCGGATCTCTGTGAGTTCGAGGCCAGTCTGGTCTACAAGAGCTAGTTCCAGGACAGGCTCCAAAACCACAGAGAAACCCTGTCTCGAAAAACCAAAAAAAAATAAAAAAATAAAATAAAAATAAAAAAGTTTCAATTATAGACCTTTCTAGATGTTCCAGAGAAACCTATTTCCTAACTGCCCTACTTAGAGCTACCCACTGCTCCCTCATGCAGAGCTCGTCTCTGTTGACTATCTCATATCCTGTCAGATATCGTCATAGCAACACCACACACCGTCGGTAGCTCTTGTGGGAGCATCCCCATGACTTCAACACAAGGTCTATTATATAAACCATGTTGAAGTCTAAGAATGAACTTGACCCTATAGCAGCTGACTCCTAGTACTGACCAAACAATAATGGCAGCAATGTCAACAACACACACACACACACACACACACACACCCATACACACACACACACACATACACACACACACACACACACACACACACACACACACACACAGAACATGAAAATGACAACAGCCACGGTCTGAACACGTGGAAGGCGTGGGCACTAGCACCTCGCTGTCACAATGCAGAGAAAGATTTCTGACCGGTCTGAAGGCAGAACGAGAGCACAGAAAGAGGTTAGGTGGTGGCAAGACTGCCAATGACTGTCCCTTTCTTCTTAGCCACGGACCTGTGCTTTGGGCAGGGCACACAGATGCCTCGCCAAAGGACATCAGCACAGTTAGGTGTTCGAGTCCAGAGATACCAAATGGTACCTCACAAAGACTCTTTTTTTTTCTTTAAAAAAGCTTTAGTTTGAAGTGTGTGTGTCTGCTAATGAGTACATATATGTGCATGCAAATGTGTACAGAGGCAGAGAGGCCACTGAGTCCTCCAGAGCCAGAGTTACAGCTGTGAGCACAGAGGTTGAGGGCTTGGAACTAAATTCTGGTCCCCTGCAAGAGTGCCCCGTGCTGTTCAAGCTGGTTTAAATCACTAAGTCAAACTATGATATGGCCTAGTCACCTGAGAAAGGAGTTTCAGTCTGGGGACTTCCCAGGTCAGCCTGGCCTTCGGGCATGTCTGTTGGGGACCATCTTGATTATTATTGATGCAGGCGAGCCCAGTTTCCTGTGGGCAACAGCACTCTGTGGGTCCTGTGCTGTACGAGAAGCCTAGTGAAGCATGAGCTGTAGCCAATCCAGCGAGCAGCCTTGCTCAACGGGAAGACTCAGCTTCCTGATGGATTTTCTGCCCCGACACCCTCATGCTCACCTGTGACCCCTAGCTGTATACGTCAGAATGACCAAAGGAGAGTGGTGCACTCCTGAGCAGCCATTTCTCTAGCCCCAAGACTTAACAAGGGACCAGGAAACCAGACTCCTGGCTTCCTCCTGCAAACCATCAGTCATCATGGGCCAGGAGATGAACTCAGGGATTCCACCCGACAGAGAAGAACAGGTTTCTGGGTCCTGACGACACCAAGTCACCTCTTCAGCCTGTATTTCCAAACTCTGCTCTTCTTTTTCACCAGGAGAAGATGGAAGGGAACGGCTTGCCCCCCCCCCCTTCCTGTTTTGCTTTGTTGTTAAATTTAATTAAATGGCAATTTTCAGATGGTATTCTGTGAATTTCTCTCCAACAAGGCTACTTTAAGATCAGATGGAGTAGGTACATTCACAAGACACAGCACACTCATCAAAGATCTTATTTCAAACTCTATCTCCTGGGTGTCAGCCTCTCCTGGTGGCATTCACTAGCTCTCACCAGCCCAGCTCTGCAGCTTCCACTCTGAGCAGTGCTACCAATGCAAAGCGTGCATTCCTCAAGCCAGTGCTCAGCTGGGAGCATGGTTCAGAGCAGAGCGCTTGCTGGCGTATGCAAGGCCCTGTGTTCAGTTCCCAGCCCTGGGGAAAGCCCATTCTCAGTTATGGAATGCCACTTGAATCCAATTGAAAGGAAAACGACAATTTTAACAGACACAGGTAAAAAAAACACTATCTAAATAAAGATAAACAACAAGAAAAAGAAAACACCTGAAGTATACAAGCATATCTGGCCCCTTAGTTACATTTAAACCAGAGTCTGCCCTAGATCTGAGTCTCCAAAAGACACTTCAGAGTCCACAATGAATAGAAAGTAACCGTGAAACTAAACTGCCTAGGTTAATCCCAGCGCTGCAAACTCTAACTGTGAGACTTAAAGCAATCATTTAACTCTCCAGAGCCTCAGGTCTCCTTGCTTGTTACATGAGGACACTGCCCTACCCCATCTCTGAAGGCTAAAGTACAGACTAAGTAGTCAGTGTGTGTAAAGCCACGGATCTCCCAGTGCCTGGATCAGGATACAATACAAATAGTTATTGTTATTGCCTTTGTCACCTTCTTTCTGCTGTAGTACTCAGCATTTGGAGAGACGCTGGTATACAGGCAGGGCTATAAACTGGTATTGTACCTACGCACAGTCTTGTTACCTGTATTATCCCGATCACCAGCCAGATAGCAGAGGCCACAGCATATCTCAAAATGCGGCTGTAAGGTGCCACGTAGTCAGACGGGTTTCTAGAAAGGCTGGAAGACGAATCCATCAACGCTAAGTTTTTGAATCCCACAACCTGAAGCAAAAAAAAAAGGTGAGAATTTACAGACATAGGTAAAGAACACCCTTCCAGACTAAAAATGAAATATTCTTCTCTATTCACCTTGAAAAACTAAAACGCCCAAGGTTATAAACAGCAGGAAAACCAAGACACAAATTACAAACCTAAAACTACCAAATAGTTAAACAAATAACTAGCAATTTATAAGTATTTAACATGTACCCTTTAGTACGCTAAATACTTTCTGTATTTCAAAACAATATATTCCAAAATGTCTTCCAAGGAATGTATGTCCCTTCTTAGACGAAACGAAGCCACAGTTGGGGAGGTTTGACGGGTCTATCACACTGACTGCCACGGCTCTTCTCCTTGGAAAACAAGGCCCTAAGGATTTTACAGCAAGGTTTCTATACAATTCTATGTTCTCTAGTGTTTTGCAAAGCTAACTGCGGAAACATGTAATACCTTTTCAAGTTCATCAAATATTCAAACCCTTTTTACTATTTTGGGGTTTGAAGTATGCTCTCCTTGGCTTAGGTGAGGTTGGAACTTGCTGTGCACATGATCTTGAGTCTCATCTACTTCCACCTTCAGAGAGTCTGCTGCAGACCACTGGTACAAAAGCTACTCCCTAGAAACCCAGAGTGTTCAAATCCACGAGCCACGAAGAGGAGTGGTGGGGACCCAGGGGCTGCAGGGACAAGGAGCGAGCGATTGACTGCAGGACCAATGATGGCTGCAGCAGAATGAAAAGTCTGAGCTTTGCAGACGAGGAGCTCAGGAGGCAGACGTGGTGAGTCCATCCCACAGCACTGCCCTGTGCACTCAGAGCTCCAGACGGTGCACCTTCCAGGGACTCGTCACAACTTTTGTTTTATAGGAAGGATCAAGGGGAAATAAGGACAAGCCACAGAACAAGCTCCACCGTCTGGGAACTTACTTGCAATCAGAGTAACACTGTGCAGGGCTAATAAGCTGCACTCAGCCGCATCAAATGCCCACAGTACACAGTTTATACCTCCAAAAAGAAGAGTGTGCTGAGCACTTGGAAGAGAGGATTGGTTTTCCTCACGGTCTGAATCTCATTCCATTCATTTGCTACAAAGTATGTCCTCCAGATGCTCACAGGAACAGTGGCACTCCGGACACCGCCCTCACCTGGGGGGAGAGGAAACGAGTAAACACTGTTCTCCTTCACCCCGCAAGGCAGCAGCAGGACTCGGGCACAAACACTGACTTCAGTTACCTTCGACAGCTTTGAGAACTTTTCCTTTGGGCCGCTCCCAATCAATAAAGAATATATCTATGGTAATCTGGGAGATGAGCTTGTGCAAAAATTGTAGAGCCTAAAAATAACACAAAACAAAACACCTGAAAATATCAGTATTTAAGACTGATCATAAAAACAACATAGTTCTTTTCAAAGCGCAGTGCAATCACGAGAGTCACCAAGGGTACAGAGCTGTCACACACCCATCCATTCACCTCTTTTCCTTCTGTCCTTAAAATAGGAGCATGAAAAAGCTGAGCTGGCCTTCCGCCCCTCCCTACAGGCCCTTGCTTAAATGGCACCCTTCCTCCAGGCTCTACATTCTCTGACTTCTCTGTGAGCAGGGTGGCTGCAAAGCTGGGTGAAAGCAGCGGATGCCCCATGTCTTCTCTCTGGGGCTGAGATGGGAAGCAGACTGTCGCTGACACAATCCTCTCCCTTGCAGGCGCCCGGTCAGTTTAGACCCAGTCTCATTCCTGGGCACTACCGATGGAAGGGCAAAGCCAAGCAAGGGCGGTAGCGTCCGGAAGAGTCACTTCTCATGGGTAAGGCAGGTGGGGTGAAGCCCCGGAGGAGGACAAGGGAGAAGGACATGCTGAGGGGCAGCTACCACAGCAAGAGGAGGAGGAAGGACTGACAACAGCGTCTACAATCCCAGCTCTTGCCGGTGCTGGCTGTCACTCTTCATCGACAGAGATAACATCCATGATGGAAGTTGTTTGTCCCATTGTGAACACATTCCAGATTTTAAAGGAAAAGTTCAATATTGAAATATCATTTTATCAAATTAGCTACAACTTATGATTTCTCAGGCATATGATTTAAGTCATAACTTCAAAAGGAATAAGTAAAGTCACATCTCCTATGTAAAATAAAAAGAAGGATGCTTTCTTTCAAAACCAAACAAAATTTCTGCCAAAAATCATAAAAGCATCTGAATTTGCAAGATGCACTAGCTTCTTAGCAGGCTTCTGAGACTGAGGAGCCTGTCCTGGACACATACCTTCATAGCAAAGGCACACCCCACATAGGTAACAAAACGTTCTTCCTGAGCTGGCATCGGCAGCAAAACAGAGACAGACTTCTGTGCCTAAAACAACAATCACACAAGGTTTTCAGGACACAGTTACAAGCCAGAGGAAGCATCCTCTGGAAACAGGAGCATCCTCAACCAACGGCTCACCAACGGGTGGGGAGCTCAGTAGCTGCCGCGAGGAGCTTGAGCAGAAATGTCCCCTAACAAAAGTAGTTCTATTATTAAAGCAGTTTCTAGTTATTCAGAGCTGGCATTCAGGTGAAATTCAGAAATTGACTCACTTTGAAGAAAATAAGCCAATAGAGACCAGTTCCCACTGTGATGATAAAGAACACATTGGCCAGATCACCAGCATAGTACACCAAGAATTTCATAACTGTCTGCAATTTAAAAAGAATTACAATTGTTAGAGATTCCGTTTATTAGCTCTTTAATATATTTATTTCTGCTGAGGGTTTGCTTTACTTTACTTTTATCATATGTAAAATGGAAATACAAAAGTGATACTTCTATTTTAAGAATGTAAAGTATAAAAACACTTTCTTCTCACTGTGTCCGCATGGTCTGGGTGCGCAGGTGCTGACTGCCATGGAAGGCATTTAAAGGTCAGAGGATGATTTTGTGGAGCTGGACTTCTCCTTCTATCTTTATTTGGGTTTCAGGGATAGAACCCAGGGTGTGGCACGTGCCTTTACTTTATTTGAGCTGTCTTTTTCATTTACTGTTTTAGAATTGTGCACATGTGCATGCAAACACCCACTTGTGAGTGCAGAAGAGGGCAGATCCCCTGCAAGTGGAGTTACTGGTGCTGTGAGCTGTCAGACACGGGTGCTGGGAACTGAGGTTGGGTCTTGAACAAGGCAAGTACACTCTTAATCACCAGCCCTCTCTAGCCACCGAGTATCACTTCTAATAATATTAATATACTGGCCATCTGTATCCACACACTACAAAGGCCCACTGAGCTCGCCTGCTCTATGCCTCCTGACTCCTCCTCATTCCATTCCTCTTCCATTCATCTCACCTTTCGCTTTATGAGAAAGTGGAAGCTGCTTCCAGGTTCCCTAAGTTGGGAATGGCTACCCAAATCTATCTTATATATTTTCAGAGTTATTATGTAGTGTTATTATTTGCCATGCAAAAAAACTGACACTTGCTCATACTAGGGATCTCTGGACCCTAGTGAGCTTTCTCGAATGTAAATTAGTTTACGTCACTTTTGTTCTTAGAAACCTACAATGACTACTCACTAAATTGCGGACTCACAAGGTCCTCCCAGTACAGACCAAAGGCAGCTTCCTACTTGGCTCCTGAGCTAGTTCCAAGCACGCCGATGTTGCCCACTGCACAGGCCCATCTCAGTGCTTTGTGGGAAGCAATGGCCGTAGTTTTGTCAACCACTCTTCCCTCTCCCTGTCAGGAACTCTGAGGGCAGGCTGCTCTGCTGGATTCATGCCTAGCGTGTTCCCCAGCACTTGGCCCTCCACAACAGACCCTCGGCGACCCCTGTGGAATGAACATCTTAACTTTCACCTGTAGGAAAGGCCTTCTTTGTTCCAAACAGGAGCACAAGCCCTTTTCCCTGACTCGCTGTCACACACTGGCTTTGGAATCAGGAGGAGACCCTGGATATACAAATTACTACAGAACCTTTCTCAGGCTCTTGGTTTGCAAAGAAATAACACTTTTTGTTGAGTTACTACAGACATTAAGCAAAAAATCTAAGCTCTATTTCCCTTCTATCATATATAAAATTGGAATAATATACTCTACTACATGGAGCTGTGTGAAGATTAGGTAAACTACACATACAAAGCTTAAAAATGTGCCGGTGCATAGAAAATATTCAATAACGTGAGTCAAAATGTTAAAACTTTTAAAGACTAAATAAGAAGTAAACTATAAAGCTAATGGAGTAAAACCTTCTTTGGTGTTGAGATGGGCAAGTGATGTAGGTGGGTCATCTGTCTATTGTTATTTTCATTGGTTGATAAAGAAACTGCCTTGGTCCTTTGATAGGACAGAAAATTAGGTAGGCGGAGTAAACAGAACAGAATGCTGGGAGGAAGAAGGCAGTGGGTCAGACACCATGGAAAACAAGGACCCTAAATAGAAAAGTGAGCAAGAGAGATTTAACAGTTCACAAAAAAGGGAGCCTAAACATTTAAAAAGTATATAAAGGGCTGGAGAGATGGCTTAGTGGTTAAGAACACATCTGTTCTTCCACATGGCCTCCACAACAATCTGTAACTCTAGTTCCAGGGGATCAGACGCCTCTTCTGGTTTCTGTGGGCAGCAGGCAAGTACGTGGTGCAGAGGAATACATGGGACAAAACACCAGGCATGTAAAATAGAACTTTTAAAGTATATGAATAATAAAACAAAACAAAATAAAACCCACAATGACATCTTAGCATATGCCACTCTATGGTACAGACATGCTAATGTAGCAAAGTATCAAGTACTGGCAAAGACAAGATTAAAGCAGTGGTGGGAATGTGGGCAGACGGGGTCCTAGGAAGAAAGTGAAGCTGCATATGTTCTATGACCTCAAAATAAGCTTCCTGACTTATACTCCAGAAATCAGACAACGTTCTTACTCATCTTCTAGCTGTATCTTATGGAAAAGATTCAGAACAGCCAAACACGAAAAACCTCATTTAAGAACTGCGTGTACCTGTAAATCAATCATGGGACTCCCAATGCGCCTTTTCCACCCTGCTGTCTTCAAAAGAGATGACAACACAGCCAGCCCACCCAACACACCCAGTGCAATCTGGAAAAGGAACAGAACAGAACAGAAAACAGTTTAGAACAAACATAATTCCTCTCACTGTTCCTAACATCCACCATGAAAGTGAAATTACTCAAAAATTGGTGGGAAGCAGTTGAGAGGACATGGGAGCTGAGCAGTGAGAAATCTCAGGGGCTAAATTAGGGGAAAATTGAGCAAGAAAATGAACAGAATGAATTACAAAATCACCTAAGTTAAATATCCATGAGGTCATAGTGACTTAAATAAATAACTGAATAAATATTGATGAGGGCAAAAGGGAAAGCTTGGCCTTATAATAAAGTTCCAATTTATAAATTCAGAAGAAAAGAAGGAAATAATAATTAAAAACCAACATCAGGCAAACACCAGAGTGGTACTTGCTGCAGACAGCAGCACCAGTGGGCAGCAGCACCAGAGGACAGCGGCTGCGGAGACCGTTCAGGCAGCAAGCACTTGCTGCACATCACGAGGATGTTAGCTGGATCCCCAGAACACATGTAATACCCACCCACATAAAAAGCATGACCCATGTGCCTGCAATCCCAAGGATGCAGAGGTAGAGGCTGAGGGTCTCTGAAGCTTGCTGACCAGCCAAATCTGTGAGCTTAGCGAGAGACACTGTCTTAAAAAAAATTAGGTAGAAATATATAGAGGAAGATATCTAAAGTTGATGTCTGTGAATGTATATGTATACACACTCACACATACACACACACACACACGATGTGGGATTCCCCTCTGTATGCTGTGAATACCACTGGTTAATAAAGGAACTGCTTTGAGCCTATAGCAGAGCTATAGGGAAATAAACTTAGGTGGGGGAGAGGATTGGGGGTGTTGAGGGGACAACACTAAACTGAAGGCTGGGGAGAAGGAAGTTGGACTCAGAGAGAAGCCTTGTAGCCCCACCAGAGATGGATGTTAGAACTTTAGCTGGTAAGCCACAGCCATGTGGCGATACAAAGAGTAATAGAAACGGGTTAAATTAATATGTAAGAGTTAGCCAATAAGAAGCTAGAGCTAATGGGCCAAGCAGTGATATAAATAATACAGTTTCTGTGTGATTATTTTGGTTCTGGGCAGCCAGGACAAATAAGCAGCCCCCTCCAACACACACTCATACGCACGTACACACTCACACACTCTCATACACATGCGTGTGCACACAGGTGCACACGCACACACTCACACATGCACACATACACACACTCCTGATCCCATGCACTGAGAAGGGCCTGGTGCACTCCTGTGTCAATCTCTAATAAAAAGAACACAAACTCAATTTAAACATTGAAAACCTGCAGAGAAACCCAAGTTGATGGCCAAAAAAGCTACCCAACAAACACTAGCAAAGGATCAGGCCATGAAAGACAAGGAAATACTGGACACTGACACAGACTGGTGCGCACATAGAAGATGTGACAACTGGAAGCAATCCGGAATCTGAAAAGTGATGGAGAAACCCTGCACTACCCGAACAGGACGCAGGTCAGCTGAGAGCACTGCACCCACACTCGGTTCCGGTGACCATCGCTGTGCCGTGGGCCAGTGCAAGAGTACAGGGCCCATTTATTTTCACAGCTCTATCTACACCCCAAAATTTTAAATCAAGAGTAGTGTAAATATTTTAACAAGTCAAAAGATACTCACATCTGTCTGGACAAATGCGTCTCCTTGATTCATCTCGTATTTGACCGAGAAGGAAATCTAGTATTTAAAAGAGAACATTCCGTCATGGATTTAGTAGTTAGTCTAACACTAAAACTAGACACCTTACATCTACTTCCATAAGAGTAATTTGCGTGTCTGGATTGTGCTGTGCGCTGTCTTTGAGCAAACACTGTCACGGACACTGGCCTTTACTCCCAGAAGGTGCTGTCTGAGAACTCTATACTGTATTAAGTCCCTCTCAAACATGCACGGAAGGAAAGAGGGCTTGTTAGGAACTAAAGTCGTTGACAGCAGTTCAAGCCAAACCAATCCTATTTTATCTTCAGATAGATTTCTGTCACTGAGAAAGATGATTGTCTTTGTATCAAAATGATTAATTAGGTACACAACCATATCCTAAGAAGGCAGAATATGCACACATCTGAACAGGACACCTAGGGACATCAGAGTATCAAGGCACACACATGTCACGGCACCCGTGTGAAGGCCAGAGGAGAGCTCCGCACAGTCAGGAGGTTCCAGGATGGAGGCCCTGCTGCACAGTCAGGAGGCTCCAGGATGGAGGCCCTGCTGCACAGTCAGGAGGTTCCAGGATGGAGGCCCTGCTGCATAGTCAGGAGGTTCCAGGATGGAGGCCCTGCTGCACAGTCAGGAGGTTCCAGGATGGAGGCCCTGCTGCACAGTCAGGAGGCTCCAGGATGGAGGCCCTGCTGCATAGTCAGGAGGTTCCAGGATGGAGGCCCTGCTGTATAGTCAGGAGGTTCCAGGATGGAGGCCCTGCTGTACAGTCAGGAGGTTCCAGGATGGAGGCCCTGCTGCACAGTCAGGAGGTTCCAGGATGGAGGCCCTGCTGCACAGTCAGGAGGCTCCAGGATGGAGGCCCTGCTGCACAGTCAGGAGGCTCCAGGATGGAGGCCCTGCTGTACAGTCAGGAGGTTCCAGGATGGAGGCCCTGCTGCTGGCTCCTGCCGGGCACTCTCACCGCTGTGTAACCAGCTGCGCTGCTCCTTTCTTTCTTATGCTTTGGTTTCTCCACACTTGGTTTGCAAATTGTGGACAAGAATAATACTTAAAGAAAGGAATGCCTGCATTAGAATGAGAGGCTCTAGGAGGTTTAAGGCCAGGCAGCCTTTTCTCTTGTTATTTAGCATCCGGTAATGAACCCACGTAGATCTACTATTTCTGAGTACCTGGTTTAACCAGGTAAGGAAACGAAAAGTCAGAAAAGACAGATCCAGGAGCTGTGTGTCTCCGCGTACTTAGCCACTGACAATCCTCACCCACTCTTGGGGCTGGAAGGATGGGTCAGTGATCAGGAGTCCAGACTGGTCTTACACAGGACCTGAGCTGAGTTCAGTTCCCAGTTCCCAGTGTGTGAGCCATCCTTAGTTCCAGCTCAACTGCAGCTCAGTTCCAGGGGATCTGATGGCTCTGTCCTCCTTGGGAGCTCACAGGTACATAGCTGCTCCATCCCACTACACAATACACATGATTAAAAACAATAATTTCATTCTTCCCTGCCTTTTAATACTCAGGCTCCATAAGAGCTCAGTTTCTTCTATTAGCCACTCTTGATTAAGATTTGAATATATAGAGATTTGGATAGGCGATGTCAGCATGGTATCAATATGTACAATGATGGGGGCACTGATGATAAAGGACCCACCTTCACAAACTGGCTGTTAGCGTTTCTCATGTCAACGTCACTGTAGGCAATGGTCAGTAAGGGAGTATATATGTTTCCATTCTTTGTGTTGGGTACAAGGCGTATGCTGTTAAAATATACTCAAAATTATAAATATATTTAACCCCTTAAGCATTTATTTATCTTTTTGAATTTTATATAGACTGTCCTTGTATTTTACACTCAGTACAGGCTAAGGAGGCTCACTATAAACTAGGGGCTAAACCGCAGCTCATCTTCACTGCTAAACCCTTCAACACTGATGTGCTCTGCAGGAGAGGAGCTTGAAGCTCTGCTGACGTAGGTACTGACATACAGTGAGATCACTGAAGCACTGTGAGCAATCTTTAAGGACAGCCAGAAGAGCTGCGCTACCTGACACCTACAGACTGGCAGACAAAATGTGCATCTTCAGATAAGGAAGAGGAAGTTTCACTACAACACTTGTTACATCGAGTTTGCTTTAGGCATCGTTTGGCAAGTATAATGTATAAGTATCATATAATTAGTGAGCCCAAAAAGAAAAATGCCAGCATGGCCTAACCAACAAGTCTACCCTAATTAGGTTTGATTTAATTTTTTTAGAAATTCCACACTGGCAGGTCAAGCAGATGCTAGAACACAGTCCACATGAATGTCAGCACGACGTATGAGAAAACTCTCACAGTGCCCAATTCATAAACTGCCACGAGAATCCAAACAAATAGAGGGAAAATGGCAGGCTGCATGGCAGCACTCTAAGCAGGGAGAATGAGATCTGCCATGGAAGGAAACGGGGACGAGGAGGCTGAACTCGCAGTTGGCTCTTGGTTCTTATTCAAGACCTATCTTAGCGACCGGTATTAACTTCCTTCCTCTTCCTCTTCCAACCTACTGCAACTCGTCAGGTACAGAGTGACTTAGAACGTACATCTGGGCAAACTCCTGAGATCCTTCTGGTATCAGTTCCCCCCTTTATCCCTTAACCTCTATTGGTCTATGTCAACCTAGACATATCTAAGAAAACCTAGTGTATCATTTCCGTTCAGGTCTCCTTACTGTTTCAGTCTGGTCATTCCTGGTACACACCTCATGGCATGGTCTCAGACACTCCCAAGTCTTCCCTAGTAATTTGCTTACCTCAGTGATATCTGGGTAGCAATTCGAACTACTCTTGGCTGACTTCCGAGGTCATTTTCTCGTCCACTGACTGCATCCACTAAGAAGATGCGCCGAGTAAGAAGCCACTTGCTGGAGCTGCTGTCTTTATTATAAAAAGGGGAAAAAGGGCATTGGGAAAACTGCTTTCAAATGGCTTAAGATGGCCCTCACAACACTTACTGACAAATCAAGATTAATGCTTAGTATTTATTCTGAGTGAGACGGCCACAAAGAGCTGCTCCCGTCAGAAATTGTCAGTCTTCTCTGCTCCCCGCCTGAGTCACATTTTAAAGCATGGACAGCAACAAAAGAAGTTAGCTTGTCCTCAGGAGGGGAGAACAGTGGGGATAAAGAAGTTAGCTTGTCTCCAGGAGGGGAGAGCAGTGGGGGAAAAGAAGTTAGCTTGTCTCCAGGAGGGGAGAGCAGTGGAGAAAAAGAAGTTAGCTTGTCCCCAGGAGGGGAGAACAGTGGGGAAAGAGTCAGCTTGCAGTTCCAGTCATTTTCCTCAGGACATTCGTTAAGTAAGGGTATGATTCATAAAGTTTCAAAAATGAAATTTGTAAATAGGCCCAAACACAGCAGCCACACTACCCCTTCATCGCGCCTTGGGGCATAGTATATAAACCATATCCTTGGAGGACCCATCACTACCATCACTGGTCTACACCTACCGAGTTCACACTATATTTATCCTAGGAGGACCAGTCACTACCGTCACTTGTTTACACCTACACCTACTGAGTTCACACTATATTTATCCTAGGAGGACCCGTCACTACCATCACTGGTCTACACCTACTGAGTTCACACTATATAAACCATATCCTAGGAACCCGTCACTACCATCACTGGTCTACACCTACTGAGTTCAGCCACGAGAGAACAGAGGAGAAGGTCTTACCTTGGTTCACAAACATCTTATTGTGCTGGAGATTTAGGTTTAACACGGGGACAGCCCACACATAACGGTGCTCGTCTTTGTCTGTGTACTCTAGATAGACATCATAAAATATAGGACTGGGAAAGTCAGCCAGGATTTTAGAGAGAGAGATTTCACACTAGAAAGCAAAATAAAAATAAAAGTGTCATGACTCAGAATTAGAAAGGATATTACCATTAAACATTTTATAATTTTGTGAAGAGTCTTTAAAAACAGTATTTGCATGCACTTCCAGGAGAGTTCCAAAAGGGAATTGGGAATTCTTAAAGGCCCCCCCCCCCAAAAAAAATCCACTCGGTTAAGAACTGTTTTTAGTCTACAACACGAGGAGAAGATCAGCTTTGTCTTTGAACACTAAGTGCACATCAAAGAAGAGGCCTGACAACTGCTGCTGTCCCACACGTCCTACAGGACGAAGGACAATTCTTTCTCCTGACGTACAATGACACATACGACTGACCGGCTCCCCTCAGGAAGGCTAAGCGCATCCCTCACTGTTCCCTATGGTCTGTGCTCATCCGTACGCTCATCCCTTTACGCTCATTTGTACCAGTCCCTCGCCATCTACACGCCAGGCCATCCTGTCTTCCCAACATTGCGAATGTGGGTTCTGCATTAATTCCCTTCTGGCCATGCTCCGTCCAGCTTAGGTTACAGAATAACTTGAGCATCACTGCCTCTCCATTCTTCCCGTGTTTCCCTGGGAACTGGTATCTACACACCCCCACCCCCACACACATATATACACATATCTACAATATCACTTGGACATTCTCTGTCTACATAGGTATTTGTTTACTGAACTGTGTGAACTTCTGATCCTTGTTTAGGACTGAACGGCTCAGCATCAGACTCCTACTAGCTGTCGACTCTCCCTGCTCACTGTGGTCCATGTTGTTATAAAAGGATGATGACATAACACCTTATAAGTCACTTCTTAGCATAAAATAAACTCAGGTTTATAGTAGAAAATTTGGAAAATATAAGAAATAAAACAAAAATCATCTCTCGCACAACTGCCCAAACTGATCAATAAAACTGTCTGTCTTCTCCCAATTGGTCACCCATGCTGGCCGTGTTCACTGTGGTTTTGTTCTACATGTGCACACCCACAAGCTAAGAAACATTTCTATGTGCTACTGAGACCTGTCAAACAGCAATGGCTCACAATGCTCCTCCGTGCCACACTGCAATGTCAAGGTAAAGAAAGTCATACCAGGAAGGAGGACGAAGTGTGGAGAGAGAGAGAGATATCAAAAGGAAGGGAAGGAAGCATTGATATGCTGTTGGGAGGTAAAGTGAACAGGAAATGACAGTGGTCACTAACTTCATTATACAGTGTTCAGGATAGCAATATAAGCTACTCCAACATAAGCCTAGATGCAGATAAACAACTGACTATGGAAATCTGATATTATAGATACTTAAAACTGTAGACAACAATATATCTTCGTCTTGATGATTAACATGTCTTGTGCCTAGATAATACAAGATTTATTAAGTAATGAAACTGTTCATTACCATTAAATGAATTTCCAATAAAAAATATTCAGTCACTAGAGATCAAAGTGAAACTAGAGACTGTATAACTAAGACAGAGACACTCACGTTTTGCTGGTAGGTTGTTCCGAAAGAATAAGCTGCATCCAGTCTTGTCTCTGTGTTTGGACAAAGCTTCAGCAGAAGAATACAACTCATGAGCATCTCTCGCAAATGATTTCTTTGCTCCCATATGAACATATGTTCTATTTTCTACTAATTTAATATGTGAAGGCCATAAAAAGTTAAGAGAGGCTGGGCAGTGGTGGCACATGCCTTTAATCCCAGCACTTGTGAAGCAGAGGCAGGTGGATCTCTGTGAGTTCAAGGCCAGCCTGGTCTACAGAGTGAGCCAGGACAGCCAGAGCTACACAGAGAAACCCTGTCTTGAAAAACAAAAGAAAACAAAAAGTTAAAGGACTTTTTTTTTTGTTATAAATTAAAGTTATAACTTGAAAAGCAGTTTTAAGAAAGTCCAACTTGGTGCTGGCAAGATGGCTCAGCAGGTAAAGGCACTCCCCACCAGGCTTCAGCCCCAGTAGATGCCACCACGGTGGAAGGAAGGAAATTGATTCCCACAGCCTTTCTGGTGATCATGAACACACACACACACACACAATGGAATTTAAAAATTCTGATTTAACATGCACACCCTGTAACAGATTCTCTTCCAAAAACACTCTAGTCTATTCCTTTTGTCCTTGCCTCAGACAAAAATGAAGTATACAGTATTGTTTTAGCTAGAATCACACTTACCTGTAAAACACCACCTTCTAAACTTTGCCATTTGATAAAATTTCCTCTTATGTCATAGGAAGCAGCAACAAACTTCAGCTTGATGTTTTGGTTAAAGAAAACGATAGTAAAAGAATGTCAAATACTTTATGAAGAGTATTTTTATTACTATCTTTTCAATGTTAACACTATTTTTGCTGAAAAAATAAATTCAACGAAATTTATTTGAACGTGAATTACTCCCACTGTCGGTACATTTAAGCACACCGTAAGGCAGGACTGGTATTTTGCAGAGGTTACTTCAGAACTGAGGAGAACAGCATGCAGGTGCCTTCCTCTCACACCTGTTACCTGAGTGGAGTGTGGAGGGAGGGTACAGTGTATCACACCTGTTACCTGAGTGGAGTGTGGAGGGAGGGTACAGTGTATCACACCTGTTACCTGAGTGGAGTGTGGAGGGAGGGTACAGTGTATCATTCTGGAAAGTTCAACACCTGGAGGTGGGAATTAGGAGCTGTGTGTGGGGCAGTTCTGCCGCTGTCTTAAGTGAGGGCACGAGTCTGCATTTGGTGATGACACCACACTTCTCGGCCCTCCAAGTGCCGCCAGTCCACAGAATGCAGACATCACGTCAGACAGCCCAGCTCCACACTGCCGTGTCCACAGCAGCTGGTATCTATACAGCTAATCTGTAACTGTCTCTTCTGAAGGCAGGGCCTTGTGCATGTCAACTAAGCATATCACCCCCGAGCTGCACCCCCCTTCAGTCACTTCTTATCTCAAGCCAGCAGCTCCCATGCAGCTCCTCCTCTAGAGATGTGGAGACCCGTACCTGGTGTTGTCCTTTAAAACTGAAGTTTGTAGGAAGAGGGGTGGTACTGAGAACTTGCGGGGCCAATCCTGGCTGGTCTCCATAGAACAACCAAGGAAGGTTCTGCCTCCTGTGAACAGTCAGACTAGTCTTAATGAAAAGAAGTAGTGATTTACTAACATCTGTGAAAACATCTGCACTGAGTTCATCTCAGAGTGCTTCAACAACCGAAATCGCCTTACCAGAATGGGACAGAATGAATGCTGCTCAGTCCTGCAGTGCTTTCAAAGATGTAATGGAACAGGCGGCACGCATCAAAGGTGGTAGAGTCATAGGAGTTCATGTTCATCACACATATATTTCCAAGAGCCTGGCAAGATGTCAGGTTAGCATGAACCTGCAGAAGGAAGGGGGCAACAGTAGAGACATCAGGTTAGCATGAACCTGCAGAAGGAAGGGGGCAACAGTAGAGACATCAGGTTAGCATGAACCTGCAGAAGGAAGGGGGCAACAGTAGAGACATCAGGTTAGCATGAACCTGCAGAAGGGAGGGAACAACAGCAGCAGGGCAAACAAAAGGTGACAGGAAAGTTATGTGGACAATTGGGTGGACAATGAACTTTTCATCACTTTTACTCGTGTGTCTGTGGATTTGCCTGTATGGGTGTCTGCACCACGTGCATGTCTCATGCCATCAGAGACCGGAAGATGGCTTGGGTTTTCCTGGGGCTGGTGCTATAGACGGTCGTGAGCCACGATGCGGGTGCCTGGAACTGAACCTGAGTCCTTTGCAGGAGCAGCAAGTGCTGCTAATTGCTGAGCCATATTCCCAGCCCAAGAAAATAAATTCTTAATACATGAAGATGAATAATAATAATAATAATTTAATTATAAATTTTGGGCAAAATATTAGCACGAGTACCTGAAAGAAGTGAAAATACAGAGAATATTTAAAATAAAACCATTAAACAGAATAGTTTTAAGGAATACCATGGTTTATTCCACTTTGATTTATTCCACTTTGCTTGAGTAATTTATTTTTATGAACAACAAAATCAAATTATTAGCTGAGTTTAATCTCTCAGCTTCCTTTCTCAGTACCCAGGAGGCAGAGACAGGTGGATCTCTGTCAGTTTGGGCCAGTCTGGTTTGCATAATGAGTTTCACACCAGTCAAGGCTTCATAATGAGATCCTGTCTTAACAACTACTACAACAAAACAATTAAAAAAAAAACAAAAACCAAGCAAACAAACCCTAAAATCCCGAGCACAGACACACAGTTACTAAAATCCCGAGCGCGCGCACACACACACACACACACACACACACACACAGTTACTAAAATCCCGAGCACACACACACACAGTTACTAAAATCCTGAGCACACACACAGACACTCAGTCACTAAAATCCCGAGCGCGCGCACACGCGCGCGTACACACACACACACACACACACACACAGTTACTAAAATCCCGAGCACATACACAGACACTCAGTTACTAAAATCCCGAGCACACACACACACACACACACACACACACACACACACTTACTAAAATCCCAAGCACACACACACACACAGTTACTAAAATCCTGAGCACACACACACTCAGTCACTAAAATCCCGAGCACACACAGACACACACAGACACACAGTTAATCCCGAGCACACACAGACACACACAGTTCCTAAAATCCCGAGCACACACACACACACACACACACACAGTTACTAAAATCCTGAGCACACACAGTCACACAGTTACTAAAATCCCGAGCACACACACACACACACACAGTTACTTTCTCTGTTCTCTATTCTGACTTATTGCCTTCATACACTATTAACAACCTGGCATTTATTTAGACCAAGTGTAAGGAGGGATGATAAGTACATTTTGATTACTTACAATTACAGGAGGGAGGTTTTTCCTGTCTTCTGAATATGGAAGCTGAGAACAGGCCTAGCACATACCGTATCACCGTGAGACTCTGCGTAAGTGACATTCAGTTTCTCTAGACACCAAACCACAACTGTGGTGGTCTGAATAAGAATCATCCTCACAGATTCATATGTTTGACCACTTGGGCCCAGTGGGTAGAACTGCTTGGGCAGGGTTAGGAGGAGGTGTGGGTGCCTTGAGGTTTCAAAATACTCCTTGATATTCCCCAAGTGTTCCCTCTCCTTCTCCTATTGCAGATTAGGTTGTGAGTTCTCTGTTGTCCCTGCCACCACAGCTGTTCTGCAGTCAGGGACACTGACCTTCTAAACTGTGAGCCCAGCAATTGGGGACTCTCACCCTCTGAACTGTGAGCTCTCTTCTATAGGCTGCCTTGTCCTGGTGGTTGTCACAGCAACTGAACAGTGACTAAGAAACCACCAAATAACCCTGGGGACACCATATGTGTGAACTGCACAATAGTCTACAGACTCTACTTCAACCCAACAGAAAGACTTCATTCTTTTCAGAGCATATGACTAAAGAGATGATCCACTCAGAGAACTTTAAACTCACCCAGCATGCATCTGCTGCCGCCTGCAAGTGCCTGGCAAACCATTCTGAGTTTAATGACATACCCTATAAACAGAAAGATGAAGACAGGTTTAAATTCAAAGGAAGATTCCTTAATCCTATGTCTTAGGAAGACATTAATACATATATTAACTGAGAAACGAACAACGCTATTTTCTTACTGTTATTATAAAAATAGTCTACTGGAATTTTTAGAAAAGCTGATGAGTGCCTTCTAGAACTGAAGCTGTGTGACCAAACAATGACACCGAGACAAAGCATGACAGAATGTGTACACACTCCTAAAACACCGAGACAAAGGATGACAGAATGTGTACACACTCCTAAAACACCGAGACAAGGGATGACAGAATGTGTACACACTCCTGAAACACCGAGACAAAGCATGACAGAATGTGTACACACTCCTGAAACACCAAGACAAGGGATGACAGAATGTGTACACACTCCTGAAACACCAAGACAAGGGATGACAGAATGTGTACACACTCCTAAAACACCGAGACAAAGGATGATAGAATGTGTACACACTCCTGAAACACCAAGACAAAGGATGACAGAATGTGTACACACTCCTAAAACACCGAGACAAGGGATGACAGAATGTGTACACACTCCTAAAACACCGAGACAAAGGATGACAGAATGTGTACACACTCCTAAAACACCGAGACAAAGGATGACAGAATGTGTACAAACTCCTGAAACACAGAGACAAAGGAATGACAGAATGTGTACACACTCCTAAAACACCGAGACAAAGGATGACAGAATGTGTACACACTCCTAAAACACTGAGACAAGGGATGACAGAATGTGTACACACTCCTGAAACACTGAGACAAGGGATGACAGAATGTGTACACACTCCTGAAACACTGAGACAAGGGATGACAGAATGTGTACACACTCCTAAAACACCGAGACAAAGGATGACAGAATGTGTACACACTCCTAAAACACAGAGACAAGGGATGACAGAATGTGTACACACTCCTGAAACACCGAGACAAAGGATGACAGAATGTGTACACACTCCTGAAACACTGAGACAAAGGATGACAGAATGTGTACACACTCCTAAAACACCGAGACAAGGGATGACAGAATGTGTACACACTCCTAAAACACCGAGACAAAGGATGACAGAATGTGTACACACTCCTAAAACACCGAGACAAGGGATGACAGAATGTGTACACACTCCTAAAACACCGAGACAAAGGATGACAGAATGTGTACACACTCCTGAAACACTGAGACAAGAGATGACACAATGTGTACACACTCCTGAAACACTGAGACAAGAGATGACAGATTATGTACACACTCCTAAAACACTGATGCTAATTTTACTAATGCAAAACAAAGTGGCAAAAAGGAAAATGATAGCGCCTAAGTATCGGATGGCCAATAAGTGTTGATTTAGGATTATTTTAAGTGTATCAAATTGATGAGCACTAAGGAATGAGAACCATTGCTACACAATGGGAAAGTTGGAATCTACAGAGTAAGATCTGACATCTCCTAAACGGTGTTTTGTAAACAACAAAGGACATCAGAATAACCTCTGGAATGTCCTAAAACCAAAGGTACCTGATTTAACCAAAGGCAACCAGAACCACCAGGAGACCAGGGCATTTTTGCTGCTGTTGTTATTTTATTCAGACTGGTTTCATGAAGCCCAGACTGGTCTCAAACTCGCTAGCTGTACAGTCAACTGTGACCTTGAACTCCTGATCTCTCTGCCACCACTTTCAAGTGCCAGGACCACAGAAGCGCCTCATCCATCCCATTTCGTAACTCAATCCTGAGAAGGACAGGTATAAAGCTCAGGTCGAAAGCTCAGACTCTGAGGACACAAAGTGAGTTACAGATTAACAGAGGAGCTCCAACCAAACCACCTAGAACGTCTCACAACCACCAGATCCATCAAAACACAACTGGGAGGCACTGTGGGAGCCCTTCAAAAGGCAAAAGAAGAAATGCCTTGAATAAGGTTGAAGAACACACACACATGCACAGTGACACACACACATCCACACATGCGCAATGTTCTTTATGATAAACAGTGCCCATGAACAAACGTGGAAGGCTGCTAAAGGAGAAATCACAAAGGGAGATTAGCTAGTATGCTAAAAATTCTCCCCACACCTCTATAGCCACACCACTCTGACTGTGTCTCATCTCAGAAGCTAAGCAGGGCTGGGCCGAGACAGTTCTTAGATGGGGGTTCTCCTCAAAACAGCAGTCTTCAACTGCTGAGTGTAAGGTGCTCATGGCAACCTCATGGCAGGCGTTTATAATGAACAATATCAGCAGCGATGGGACAGGCAGACAGACACCGCATGCGCTTTGACATGATGGGACAGGCAGACAGACACCGTACGCACTCTGACATGACGGGACAGGCAGACAGACATCGTACGCGCTCTGACATGACGGGACAGGCAGACAGACATCGTACGCGCTCTGACATGACGGGACAGGCAGACAGAAACTGTATGTGCTCTGACATGACGGGACAGGCAGACAGACATCGTACGCGCTCTGACATGACAGGACAGGCAGACAGACACCATGTGTGACAGACGTAAAGTACTGAGATGAGCACACCATTTTCTCTTTAACGGCTTTCTAGCAAGCATACATTGACTATGACAAGATAGACAGATGCAGGCTGAGTTACCCCACAGACGGTAAGCCCTGGGATCTGAACTGTCAAGTCCATGAGGGACAGGGAGAGACTGAGGACTGTCTCACGCTAGAAAACGAAAGAGGGCATAACTGCTAAAGCCTGGCATTTCAGGAAAAAAGACATCGTTGTGACTTTTTAGAAATATTATTTTCTTTGCTTTCCCTCCAAGACAGGGTTTCTCTGTGTAGTCCTGGCTGTCTGGAACTCACTGTGTAGACCAGGCTGGCCTCAAACTCACAGAGATCCTCCTGCCTCTGCCTTCTAAGTGCTAGGATTAAAGGTGTGCACCACCACCTCCTGGCAATTTCAGTTTTAATTGTGTAAAAGGTATATGCATGTATATTAAAGGGACGAGCTAAGGTACAGCAGGAGGGACACTTTCAGAACACAGCGCCGAGCTGTCAGATCCTGTCTTAGCTGTTTGCATTTTAAAGGGGTTTACACATAAAACTTTCTCAGTGTGTCTGAAATTAAGCAAAGGGAGAAATGCAGGACAACCTTTCTCAAACAAGCAAAAAAAGAATCAAAAATACTCACAAGCTCTCCATAGCGTGCCGTGGAAATTACACGCTGATGGAAATTCACTGTTTTGCTGAAACACAGCCCACCTGTCTTCACAAATTAATCAGAGAAAAGTGTCAAATTACATAAAGGTATTATCTATTGAATTAAAAATATGTATTTCACCCTCTCGATTGTCTTTACCAAAATGTGAGGTTCTGAGCATGTACAAGACTTGCTGGTATTCACAAATGTTGGTTCACAGCGGACACACCTGGTAAAGATAATAAAAATCATTTTTAAAGTGTTAACGAATGACACTGAGCCTAATTTAACTCAGAAATCTTCCCTAAATGGTACATTAGAACACAGTAAGTCAACCAAGTGATTAATTACATAAGCCTTGAAAGGGTTTTACGTCATTATTATAAGGCAAAGTATAAGTGAAATCGGCTAATCATACAGGACCATTCTCTTAACTACATACATGAAAATATATAGCATGAGTAACACTAAACAGTAAATATTATAAAATCATGGACTATCAACATGGAGCCCAACAAACTCATATCAATTGTCCTAAATCAATTTGCACAAGTACATCTTTTCAGTGAATTGAGAACACAAGCATGTGTAGCCTTTTGCCAAATCTGCAAGAACACGTTTAGTTGATCACCTCTGTTATTAAGGAAAAAGATGGAGAGGTGGTCTGGACTAGTGGGGATCAACATGGACATCAGTTATCTCTGAGATAGACAGGTTGAGATGCTACAGCACACCATGTAACTCAGACAGGCTGGGGAAGCATCAGAGGGAAAACTTATAAATCAGCCAGGAGCAGATTCTGGAAGTTTTAGCTCGACTCAGTCCGAGAGAGGAAATACTGTGCTGCTAAGTTTCACAGGGAAATGTGTTATTTTCATTAATAAACTCAGAAAGGGAAGAGAAAAGCAGTGCAAACAGGCAAGTGATCAACGTACACTTGCAGAGACACTGAAAATGCGGGGCTCGGTAGGATCTGTTTACACCAGAGACATGTGTGAAGAAGGGGGGGTAGTTATGAATTTATGAGTGGGTATTGAATGCATACATGAAAAGGGAGCAGAAGCAATATAAAATTGGGCTACCAATCAGTGCACTTGTGTTAGGACAACATTTATTAATGTGCCCTTGTGTTGGTTTGAATGAGAATGGCCCCCATAGGCTCATATATTTGAATGCTCAGTCGTCAGGGAGTGGAACTGTCTGGGAAGGATTAGAGGTGTGGCCCTGTTGGAGAAGGTGTGTCACTGGGGTAAAGTTTCAAAATCCCATGCCAGGCCCAGTATCGTTCTTTGCCTGCTGCCTGAAGATTTGGATATAAAGCTCCCAGCTCTTACCTAGTGCCATGCCTGTCTTCCCCCACTGTGAAGAACATGGGCTAAGCCTCTAAAACTGCAAGTAAGCCCCCAATTACGTGCTTTCTTTTATGAGTACTATCACAGAAAAAAAAATGTACGTAAGCTACCTTGTATGTGACATTGTAATATAAAATGGTTTCCGAATCATACACTCTATATACTATTCTATAGCTTATGTACAACTTGCATAATAATGAACAAAGATAGCTGCCTTTTGCTAAGCAATTACTACAACACTATGTTAAGACCTTTGCATGTTTATTTTGAGGCAGGACAGCTTATGAAACCTATGAAGGGAAGAATACATTTCCATTCTAAACACAAGGGATTGTGACTACCTTATGTCAAATAGGAGAAGGCTAATAGAAGACTTGAACACACTTTTTCATGGATTCTGGGACTCAGCTCCTTTACTGTTTACACATATTCTCTCTTGGGAAATACTGAGGGACATAAAAATAGGGTGATATTAATGAAGCTAGCTGTTAGTATACCACTGACCTGGTTCCTAAAGCATTGGCTTTTGTGAACGAGTTTTCATTTCCATCACAGAGTTCGCAAGTGGCTTGGGATAACAGAGATCCATTAACATTTCTTTCCACTGAGCAAGACACAAGCAAAACAGTGAATGCTGAACTATATACTCTGAAATACGTATGTAAGTACAATTATAACAATTCTCAAGGCAGCATCATTTGGTTAAAGGGCATGTCAACAACCTATATAATGAAGTATATAAGAAAAATCTTTTCCTCCCAACTGAAAACATATAGAAACAAGTTTTATAAGTGATTATAACAGTAAATCAGCATTCTACTAAATAAAATTTTTTAATGTCTTTCCTGTCATACTGGGACGAGGAAACATATTATCTTCATAGATTGCTGGCCAGTTTCCACAAATGGGAGGGCTTTTAATAACCTCCAAACTCAAACACCCCAGCCAGCACTAACCTTCATTTGTAGACACAGAACTACAGAAGCACCTGCACCGAAACATACTGGGTTATATGGTATTTGATAGAGCCGAATCAAAACGTCTAAAATAGCAGAATGGTGATATACCTATGGTTAACTTTTTTCAAGGTACAACAAATTTAACCTATGAATTTTGTGGGTCTTAACTATTTTAAAAATTATAAACCACAGGCAAGACGGCACATGCCTATCATGCCAGCACTTGGGAAGTGAAGGCCGGGGCATCAGGAATTCAGGACATCTCTGACTACACAGTGAGTCTGCCAGCCTGGTGTAGCACAATTAATAAAAACTCAGAGACAGAAATTGGGGTTCAACCTGAAGGTCAGAAAAGCAAAACAGCCAGCCACTGGCTCTAACTCTACCTCAGTCTGAAATGGCGATCCTGCCTCCAGGAATCTCAGAATGAGACTGTGACTGAGAGCTGTCTCCTTCCTCCCATTTTATAATCCTCTCTAGGGCTGGGATTAACGGTGTGCACCACTACCGCCTTTCACTTAGATAAGTGGATCTCCCACCTCCTCTCCAGTTCTCCCCCTCCATCCCACTGTCCCTCCCTCCCTCACTCCCTTTTTCCCTCTCTCCCTCCCTCCTCCCTTCCCTCCTTCCCTCTCTCTTTGCTCTTCTTCTGGAAAGGCAGCTTCTGGCTCTCTCTTTTTTCCCCCTCCTCCCCTTCTCTTTCCCTTTCCCTTCCATAATCCACTAAATAAACTCTATACCCAAACTCTCTCTGCATGGTATATCTGTATGTCTGACTCCCACAGAGACCTCAGGTAACCCTCCGCCACACTCATGGGACCAGTTCCCCACTACTGCTTTATAAATGGTAGCAACCATTATTTTATAAATACTGTTCTTACCTAATATATGACCAGTGGGACAGTGGCATTTTCCTTCAGCTGTTAAGCTACCAGGGCAAGAAATACAGTCCCAGCCATCTTTGGTAACACCTTTCTACAGTTTAAAAAAAAAAAAATAAGAGATTTTCTTCTTAATTGACAATTCAAAATTAACTGTAAGCTTTGCATTCACAAATATAAAACACAACAACACTCAAGAGAATTTAATAAAAAAATCTAGTTATCAGTTTACTCTTATTATCTTATTGCCTGTTCTACAATAACCTGTTTAAATATCCAAGTTTATAGGATTTTAAAATTTGTTCTGATTCTAAGCGGGTTTATGTCCTATGAATTATACAGTTATTAATTTGATTTAAGAGAATTCACTGGAATACTGATCTAGTGAGGTGAACTGGCAGAGGTTTAATAGAGTTTGACATTGTGAGGACACCTTCTCATGTCACATGGTTTAGGGCAAACCTGAAATGACAGTCATGGAAATACAGTTAGGGCCAAACTCAGCAGAGACCAATGTTAAAAACAACAACAAACAGACACAAACTAGGCTTTGTTGAAAAGACTGGACTTATTAGTAAATGCTTCTACGTAAGGCCCGCCGTGCAACACAAAAACCTACAATAGCTTTAATAATATCTCTGGAAAATAAACTTGCCCCCGAAACTATGTTCTGTCCACAGCTCTCATCATCAGCTGTTCAGCTACGACTGGTTCTTCCAGAACATGAACGAAATATAAACATGGCAACCAGAACTACAGGATGCATAGTTCAGAGAATAACAGATTCTCAGATTAACAGAATAGGAAACATGCCACAAAACTCATAAAACTCAGAGCAAACTGACTGAAAGGGAAATTAGATTTCTATCCACTGAAAATTAGCCTATGTAGCAACTACTAATCGATTACATTTCCTTAAACCTGTATGGAATGAAGAGACTAATAAACTGTAGCAAATTTTTATTGATGCAATGGGCATTGGATAAACGCATTGCACTTTACAGGGCGCTATGAGTATCGATCATCGTGTGAGACCACTGACCCCGTAGGTCCACCTGTCTCATACAGTATCTGCCCTGGGATGTTTTACACATGTAATGCGCACCTTCCCTTCCTGATACCTGAGTTACTCTGTGAGGAAAATAGAAACAATTTTCACAGCACCGACTCTAAGATATCTAAATTAAACACTTTCATAACAAAATGGATTTCTGTTTTCCCCCCAAGTTCTCATGCAGTTTTAGTGATCTCTCAAAATGGACAATAATAAAGTTAGCTTAATAACTTTAAAGCTTGTGAAGAAATGGGAAAGATTATATTAAAGTTTGAGAGAGAGACATTCATTACTTTTCCCTCCAAAGTTATTTCAAACTAAGTTCTTCATACCATGTTTTCTGGACACTTTTTACAAATGATGGACGGCCCTCCATTGTTAGAGATCATGTGATATCCTGGCAGACACACACAGGAAGTTCCTGAAAAGACAAGAGCCGATTTCTGTCTTAGTGAATATAATTTCAAGACAGGGAAACCCAACACTTCTTACGATCTGGAAGCTGGGAGTGGTGGTGTACTCTTGGGACCCCAACACCTGGGAGGAAGAGGCAGGAAGATCAGGCAGGAGTTCAAGGTTACCCTCGCCGACATAGGGAGTGGGAGGCCAGCCTGGGCATCGTGTGTGTGTATGCGTGTGTGTGTGTGTGTGTGCGTGTGTGTGTGTGCGCGTGTGTGTATGTGTGTGTGTATGTGCGTGTGTGTGTGCGTATGTGTGTGTGTGACATTCGCGTGCACATCACTGAACTTTATATACCCTGGCTTCTCGTTTAGTAAAACAGAGAAAGTAACAGTACTGACCTAATAAGGTGAAGACTTAGAAATGTCTGGTCTTATGTTGCTGCTATTTAAACTGTAACTATTACTAAACTATGAAAACTATTTTCTTGTACTAAACCATGTGTGTGTTTAATGAATTTTGCTAATATCTTCTTGAAAATTCCTTTCAGCCAACACATCACTGTGTAGAAAGACAATAAATGCTGCATGGTTCTTACTATGCAACGCTGCTGGATAATCAACTCTAAGGCCTTAAGTAGAAACAACACCTGCAGGAGCCTACATGCAACACACACACCGTCCTTTATAACCACAGAACAAATACAACGTAAACACGTTTTCTCTCACGCTTCCTTTCCTGGACACCCTGATCGGCACTGCTCACTGACTGAAGTGGAATCTAAAGACGACGGAGTTAACCAAACGGAGATGCAAAGCATTTAGAGCTTAGAAAACAGAAAAAGACTTAGTTTGGGTAGCTTCAGTTAGAACTAGACCCATTAATGCAATTTAGGGAAAAAAATTCACCTAAATCTAAAGAGACATCAGGAGCAAACAGTAACAATCAACAATAAATGGGGTAGGTCTTAAGGAAATCTGTAACAGACGCATAGGTGCAGGTTGGGGGCAAACAGACGTACACTTAGCTTCCATGGTACGTCATACGGATGTCACATCTGGGCTTCAATTTCCTTATGTGCACAGCGCACAGAATCTGATCATAGTTTAGGTAGCCTCCAGCTCTCAATCTTTTGAATTTGGGAGTAGGGTTACAAAAGAAACTCGCGTTTTCTCCCTTTCTTTCCTGCCAGGGTACTTTCCTCGTCACCCCCGGTTACACCTTCACTATTTCTACTCTGCTCTTTTTGGGCGGCTTTCCGGGTACTATTCTGAGGATTCCCTGGGAGGGACTGACCCCTGGAAATGAGCTCCTGGTTCAGAAGGGGTCCGGGGTTCCCGATCTCATTCCGGGGCCAGTCCCAGGAACCCTTTCCTTAGGCGTGGCGGCTGTGAGTGTTCGGAACTCTCTAAGTGTGTCACTTAGGTCAGGGTCCTCCACCCCAAAGCGCCTCACCTAGGGCGTCCCGCCTCTGGTTGGCGCCACAGGGCTCGCAGGAGAGCGCAGAGATGTCGAAGTACTGATGGAGGCCGCACGACTCAGGCCGCCGGAAAGGGAAGGAGAAGATCTGGGCCCACGAGACTTCGCCGAGGACCAAGAGAAGGAACGCGGCGCCGGCCTTGACTGGAGAGCCAGGTTTGGCCGCCATGGCCACCGCAGGCCCGGCACGCATCACCATGGCACCCGCCATCCGCAGGCGCCGGCTCCCAGCAGCCTCTGCGAGGACGCTAGCGCGTCCGCTGAGCTGATTGGACGACCGGGCCCCGCCTGGTTGCTAGGTTACCACGCAAGCGCGCGGAAGGAGGGATCGGGCACAAACTGAAGTGGAGGCGGCTATTTCGAATGTATTTAATTAATGCATGTATTAATTAAACATAATAACAATGTAAACTGCATTTAAAATGTATTATGGGGCACAGTTAATTTGGGCTGTTAGGAAAAAAATACGACAGCGACAGAAAATACCTGGTTACAACACTTAAAAGTAAGTATTGTTTCATGAAGTTGGCAATGACACACACAGACACACACACACACAAGAATTTATTCAGGCAATATACTTTTAACAATAGAGGAGATATGGCACGTATTTTTAAAATCTCACTGAGGTAGTGGTTTTTTTCAGGGCATGGTCTTGATGTTGAGCAAAATCCTTATTGATTTCCTATGCGGCACGAGAATATCGCTATGACAAAGGACTGGAGAAAATCCTTGCCGACTAAATCTTGGTTTTGTACTTTTCCTGTTTTGTACACAGAGGACCATTCATGTAAAGCTCATCTTAGTTGTTCTGAAAATCAAATTTAGGCATACTTGTGTCTTTCAAAGTAAACACCCTTGTGGACTGATAGTTCAAAGATATTTTGGAATTACATTTACAGCTCATTTTTGGGTTCCAAGACAAAAATGGTTCTTGATAAATTTTAATTCTATTTTGCTGTACTTTTTGTGTATTTTATCTGTTTATCCTGATCTCCCTAATAAAGTCATCTGGTAAACTTTTTTTTTTTTTTTTTTTTTTTTTAAGCAGTGGAAGCTTTCCTTGCTTTGTGTTTTTCCAGAAAAGGTAAAGTTTTGTAATGAAAATGGTGTCTGACCTGACGGTCAAGGTTCACACCTTTAATCCCAGCGCTCAGGAGGTAGAGGCAGGCAGATCTCTCTGAGTTTGAGGCCTGCCTGGTCTACAGAGGGAGTTCCAGGACAGGCTCCAAAGCCACAGAGAAACCCTGTCTCGAAAAACAAAAACAAGCAAACAGAAGAGGTGTTGTGCCCTTATAAGGAGGGTATTTATATTCTCAATGCCTATGGGAGATGCGTCTAAGGAAGCTAGATAACTTTTAAGTTACCATTGTGTCTTTCTCAAAAGACTAACATGGATCTGGTTTCTAGAATGTATGACAAAAGAGTTGTGTTCTCCTAAGCAGTTCCCCAAAGAGAAAAATCTTTTTAAAAAAGCTTTTGGGTCATTATTTTATTGACCTGGAAATAGCTTATCTGGATACATTTAAAATCACGTGGTCATATAATCTTTCAATCTTTTTTAAGCCACCTGAGCAAGCAGTGCAATTATCTTCGTTTACAAGGTTTAGAGGCATGCCCAACATTACCCAGGAAAGATATAGATGTTGTTCATGAAAGTGTCAGAAACTAGGGGAATGTGACTTAATGACAACTTAGAGAGAAATATATCAGAAAAAGACTGGATTTGGAGAGAATATTGACTGTGGTGTAGGAGCCAAACTATGCTCTCTTTATAATACTAATGTTATTAATATAGTTAATATTAATCTGTTATATCTTTCTGGGAATCATCATCTCTCTATTAAATGTAGACAAGAATGAGAGATTTAAAACAAATTCTCTGCTTGCAATTTGCAGAAACAAACTTTGAATTCTATAAGTTTAATTTCAGGAGTTATTTAACCAAAATGTTGTGCCCCCTAACAACATACATGCTGCAAAGGGGATTAAAATAGAGAAACTAGTCTTTGAAACTAGAAACTGAATGGTCATGTGTTTCCTCAAAGAGTATGAGTTTGAAGAGCAGTAGAAACTCCATTTTGAGAAAAAACTTCATTTTAACCAGGACCTAACTAAGGGGGGTGGTGGTGCATGTAGTCCAGCAAGTCATAAATATTCCCTAGAAACTGTGCCTGCCCTGGTCAAAGTGGCTCACCAGGGTATCCAAACAACAGCTGCTTGCTTCAAATGTAGTTATCTGATTAACCAATGTTTTGAAATTCTTATTTGCTGACAGTTGCTGTTTTGAAATTTCTCTATACTCCAACCAACGAATTCAAAAGTTGTATATTTTACCCAATCCTGAAACATCAAGGCTTGTGCCACCTGCTTGTGGGTTTACCTGTAAAAGCCCCTTACCCTGAAGCCTTGGGGCAATCTACCCCATAGGCTGTGTCAGAGTGTGGGGTCCCAGGCTGAGCCAGCCAATTTGTAATCAACAAACCCCAGTGCGTTTGCATCAGATACGGTTCACGGGTCTTGGGCAAAACAGCTGAAACAAAGCTTTGACAATAGCCAAGTCAGACTGAGATGTTTTTGTTAAATAGCTTTGGGGTGAAAAAACCCAAGAAGACAACCTACAGTTTTAGAAAGGCACAGAGTTGAATGAGAATTTTGTTAAGGTCAGGGAACAAGAACAAAGCAGCCCGATTATTGTTGGCTGATGTGCCTTTCTTGCTAGACACAGGTGCATATGTAGCAGTAATTTCATCAGAATCTTGGCATTCAAATTGGCCTCTTCAGAATATAAATGTTCAGTTTTTAGGGCTCAGAACTTTATCTTGGGTAAAGCAGAACACAAGATGGGTCAAATATATAGGACCAGAATGACAGAGAGGAAAATTAAAGCCATATGTGGCTAACATTGCAAGAATCTGTGGGATGTGATTTGTTACAGCAATCGACTACTCAGGTTAAAATTCCCCCAATCTTAGAAACAAACCATAGATTAATGTATGTTTATGGGAAAAAATTTAGAACGTTTTATAAAGAACAGTTACCAACCAGTCAGGTTGTACAAGAACAGGGCCAACAGCTGCTGATATTTCAAAGGCACCAACAGCTTTACCTTTAAAATGGGTGACAAACAAATCTGTATGGGTTAGACAATGACCTTTAACACTAGAGAAACTGCAGGCTTTAGAACAGCTGATACAGCAACAACTAGATGCTCACCATAATGAGGAGTCAACAAACCCTTGGAATTCTCCTGTATTTATTGTTAAAAAAAAATCTGGAAAATGGAGAATGGTAACAGATCTAAGAGCTGTTAATAAGGTGATTCAGCCAATGGGTTCTCTACAGTCTGGCATTTTTTTGCTTTCTCTATTGTCTAAAGAATAGCCTCTTACAGTTATTGATTTAAAAGATTGTTTCTTTAATATACCTTTGCAAGAAAAAGACAGAAAATTTTGCCTTCACAATGCCTATTTATAATAATTATCAGCCTGCTAGAAGATATCAATGGGAGGTTCTCCCACAGGGAATGTTAAAAAGCCTCACCCTGTGCCAATATTTTGTAAGTCAGCCATTGGAAATGATACATAAACAATTTCCTGAATCTATAGTTTATCATTATATGAATGACATTTTGTTATCTGATTCAAATGTAGATACTTTATAAAAAATGTTGGAAGAAGTGAAGAAAATTTACCTTGTTGGGGATTACAAATTATTTCTGAAAAAATACAGAGAGGAGATTCTATTAATTATTTAGGCTATAAATAGGTTTGCAAAAAATTAGACCCCAAAATGCACAAATTAGAAAAGATTGATTATAGACTCTTTTTAATTTTATTTTTAAAACAATCTTGTTTTACATGCCAGCTGCAATTTCCTCTCCCTCCCTTCCATCTGCTCCCCCTATCTACTCCCCAACCCACCACCATTCACTCCTCAGAGAGAGTGAGGCCTCCCATGGGGAGTCAACAAAATCTGTCCCAACACTTGAGGCAGGGTCAAGGCCCTCCCCCTGTATCTAGGCTGAGCAAGGTGTCTCTCCATAGGGATGGGCTCCAGAGAGACAGTTCATACACTAGGGATAAGAAATGGTTCCACTGCCAGTGGCCCCACAAAATGCCCAAGCCACACAACTGTCACCATATTCAGAGGGCCTAGTTCGGTCTTATGCAGGTTCCCCAGCTGTCAGTCCCACTTGCTCAGGTCAGCTGTTTTTGTGGGTTTCCCCATCATAGTCTTGGCTCCTTTGCTTGTAATATTGCTCCTCCCTCTCTATGACTGGACTCCAGGAGTTCGGGCCAGTGATTAGCTGTGGATCTCTGCATCTGCTTTCATCAGATACTGGATGAAGGTGCTATGATGACAATTAAGGTAGTCATCAACCTGATTATAGGTGAAGGGCATTTTAGGTACACTCTCCACTAGATTTTTAGCTGGGGTCATCCTTGTGGGTTCCTGGGAATTTCCATTGTGCCTGGTTTCTTGCTAACCCCATAATGGCTCCCTCTTTTAAGGTATCACTTACCTTGCTCTCCCTCTCTGTCCTTCACCCAACTCAATCTTTCTGATCTCTCATGTTCTCCTCCCTGCTTCCCTTCTCCCTCACCACTTCCTTACCACCTCCCTGTCCCTCCAGACTGCTACATTACTAAAGAGATCTTGTCTACTTCCCCTTCCCAGGGGAATCCATGAATGACTTTCTTTAGGTTTTCCTTGTTTCCTGTCTTCTCTGGGGTTGTGGACTGTAGGTTTGTTATCTTTTGCTTTATAACTAATATCCACTTATGGGTGAGTACATACCATGTTTGTCTGTGTCTGGGTTACCTCACTCAGGTTGATTTTTTTTCTAGTTCCATCCATTTGCCTGTAAATTCCAAGATGTCATTGTTTTCTACTGCTGAGTACTCCTTGTGTAAATGTACCACATTTTCTTTAATCATCCTTTGGTTGAGGGGCATTGAGGATGTTTCCAGGTCCTGGCAATTATGAATAATACGACTATGAACATAGATGAGCAAATAAATGTCTCTCTTGTATGGGTCTTCATTCTTTGGGCATATGCAAATAGAGCCATATCTATCCCTGTGCACAAAACTCAAGTCAAAGACCTCAATAACAATTCAGACACACTGAATCTCATAGAATAGAAAGTAGCATTGACTGCATTGGCACAGGCGCTTCCTGAATATAACCCCAGCAGCACAGACACTGAGATCGATAATTAATAAATGAGACATCCTGAAACTGAGAATCTTCTGTAAGGCAAAGGACACGGGTAATAAGACAAAATGGCAATCTACAGAATGGGAAAAAAAATCTTCATCAGCTCTACATTGGACAGAGGGCTAGTCTCCAAAATATACAAAGAACTCAAGAAACCAGATATCAAAATATCAAATACTACAATTAAAAATGGGGTAGATATAAATAGAGAATTCTCAACAGAGGAATCTCAAGGAACTGCTCAACATCCTTAGCCATCAAGGAAATGCACCTTATACCAGTCAGAACAGCTAAGATAAAAAACACTGATGGTCACTTATGCTGGAGAGGATGTGGAGTAAGGAGAACACTTTCCCATTACAGAAAGCCTGGACAACAAATGATACAGCTACCCCTCCCAGGATTTAATAATTAACCCAAAGTTTTCTTTTTAGGATTCCCTAAAGATATTGTCGCTCCCAGACAGCAGGAAGTAAATTTAAGAATACAATGCCCACATTTCCAAGAGGTGGGGTGGGTGGTTTTTGGTCATTCAGTGGGTTATGGATATCTGTCAGTGTTTATGGGGATTGTGAAGCACGATTTATAAAAGCTCAGAGAGAGAGACAAATTGGTGTTTAACCTGAAGATCTGAAAAGCAAAACAGCCAGCCACTAGCTCTTACCTTGACCTCAGTCTGAAATGGCAATCCTGCCTCCAGGAATCTCAGAATGAGACTGTTGAGAGCTGTTTCCTCCCATTTTATAATCCTCTCTAGGGCTGGGATTAAAGGCATGTACCCTGGGATTAAAGGCATGTACCACCCAATTTCTATGTCATCTAGTGTGGCTACTGGGATGAAAGGTGTGTGTTACTATAACCTGGTCTGTAGGGCTGACCAGTAGGACTGTTTTACTCTCAGATCTTCAGGCAAACTTTATTTATCAAAATACAATTGAAATTCCACTACAGGATTTGTTATAAGTTGTTATTGATAATGGTCATGAAAAAAGCTAAACAAAGGAAATTAGATTCAAGTTTCTTGTTTTGAAAAGAAAAAAAGGGGGATATAGATATGATAGAATAAAAGGGTAGATTATTGAATCTACCTTTAAAAAGCAACTACTAGTTTTAAATGTTTTACATTGGATTGGATTTTTATATATTGTATACAAATTTTGTATATTGATACAAATTTGAGATTAATTTAGTTAGAACAAACTGTACTATATTTCTACTCTTGCTCAAGGTATTGTACGTATTTAAAAATGTAATGCAAATATCTAGTCCTTGAAAATTATTCTTACCAACTGTTTTGAATAATAAGGAAATGCAAGTTAGTAGTTAATCACCTAATATAATTAAACTTGTAGCCACATTAAGAATGTTTTCAAGGTCAGACAAAGATATATTTAAACAGATACATTATCTTCAAACACTGACTTCATGCAGAAAACACAGAAAGCATACAGCTGATCTCAGCTTCGTTTTGCCTGTGTTTCTTCTTTTTACTGAGCATCGCCACCTGGACCACCAATTGTCCGTGCTTGTTCTAAGGGAACATGCCTTTAGAGTTCTCTAAAGTAGATCTCTCTGAAGTAGATCTCTAGGGATCAACTCCTGGATTTATCTTTTATCATCTATATTATTGTGGTGGTTTGAGAGAGAATGGAAATGTGCCCCATAGGCATGTTGGAGGAAGAGGTCACTGGGGGGTGAGCTTTGAGGTCTCAAGCCACAACCAGTGTAACAGCTCACTTCTGGCAGATAAGGATGCAGAACTCTCAGCTCCTCCAGCACCTTGTCTGCCTGCAAGCCACCATGCTTCCTGCCATATGATAGAAAATCTCTGAACTGCAAACCAGCTCCAATTAAACATTTTCCTTTATAAGAGTTGCTGTGGTCATGACAATTTATTAATTCACAGCAATAAAACCCTAAGACAGTTTACCTTGTGGAGCTGTGTAATTACCTATGTTCCATTTCCATTTATAAAATAAGAAAATTATAGTAGTTACATTTGAACAAAATTCTGAAATTAAATGTCGGAGTCTCACACTGGGGTGACATCTGTCGGGGTCCAGCCTTGATGGGGTTCACACGTTCCAGGGTAGGGGTGTGTGGATTAGAAATATTAGATATGAGGAACAGAGCTTTGAAAGAAAAGGAACGGAGATGCAGAGTAGAACCAGGAGGGCAATCTAGTGATTAATGATTGGCCTGTGTGATTTTCCATATGCTTATATTCTAATCTAAAGAGAAGGCAAAAGATTGCTTTAACATAACACAAAGAACAAACAGAGAAATGACCTCTTCAATACCTGAAATATCAAGCCACTATATCCTGAGTTAAGTATTCTGTTGTTTAGGCAGGACATGCAGTGACCACACCTTAGACCAAGCATCCTGTAGGCAGCCACTCCCTGGGTTAAACCTCCTGTCATCTCCTTGAAGGAGCAGGAATAGGCTTGAATTCTCTGACCTTTGGTAAGGGTGAAATGGATCCACTTCTGCAAGCTATCTTAATGCCCCAAACACCAAGTATTTACACCTTAGGTCAGGATGTCTTGTCTGTAGACATTCCTTAAGTCTTATCTCCTGTCACCAACCTAGAATGAGCAAGAGTTAGCTTAAACTCTCTGAACTTCAGTCAAGATGGAGCAGACCCACTTCTGAGGCTCCCTATAAAAATGAGATAATACAAGGCCTGGAACAACAACAACAACAACAACAACAACAAAAACCTCAAAAAAATGTTAGTAAGCTTTTGAGAGCAGGGTCCTGAACCCACAATTTTGGCAGGGCCAAAGCCAGGATTAAACTATTTGATACTTAATCCAAGAATCATGCTTCTCATGACCTTCTCTGCTTCTGTTTGGATCAACTTGACATCTCAAAGAAGTCAAAGCACTTTTAATACTGTTTTACGTCATCATCTTTCCTCTCAAACCTAAGAGTCAGGTTCTAGTATTATTCCTATTTTGGGATAACAAACAGAAGATGGCCCAGAAGCATCTCTTATTCACTTCTTAGAGTGTCTCTCATTTCTTACTACACATTATTTTGGACATTATTTTACAGTGACCTAAATTAAACTCATTTTCTTCTAAGATTTAAGAGTGTTTCTGTTTTCTTAGTGGGCTTTGAAACCACTCATAACTACATCTTACGGTTATTTTCAAGTAATTCCAGAAAACCAAAAACAAAGCAGGCATCACAGAACATGCTTGTGATTATATTTTTCATTTCTCAACCTTCAGAAGTGATCTATCTACTTTGTTTTAAAATCTCCAGAAGAAAGCAAGTTGATAAAGGTACTTACCAACATTACTGATGTTAGATTAAGCATTATTTATTAAGCCCTTAGCTATTGACCTTGTACTTATGCACACTCTACAGCAGTAAGATGAACATTGCTGTGGCTTTCCCGAGTGTCGAGGAGCCTTTTGGAAGAGCCTCCACCCGTGGAAATGTGGAGCCAAAACAGGAGCCACATTATCCATTGTTATTAAGTTTCCATACCTCACAAGAATGAGATTCTGTTTCCAAAGCCTAATGAATTCTGCAAACCATGTTTTTCAACCTGTGCTGAATTCGTGACCCCATGATGTATGCCCACCTCCTTGCCTTGGTAAGCTTCTGAACCTGTGATATACGGTTGGCCTTTTGCCTAGGGAAAATGTGTCTTCCCAGGTATCTTGATGACTTCCCTTCCACTTGATGCAATCTTGCACTTATCTACCCCACAGTCAGCCTTGAGCCGCCACTCTTCTGTCCAGGTGCTGAGGGTCGATTATCTCTGAAACATTTTCCGAGGAGCTACACTGGCAGGACCCCTGAGGGTGGGAGACAGATACGCCGCGAGGTGAGAGTTTGGGTATAGAGTTTATTTAGTGTGTATTGGAAACGATATAAGAGTAAGGGATTATGGAGGGGGTGGGAGAAGGGGAGAGAGACCAGGGGTGACAGAGAAAGAGGAAAGAGAGAGGGGAGGAAGAAGAAAGAAGGGGGTAAGAGAAGAAGGGAGAGAGGCCCTAGTTACCTCTTAAGAAGGTGGGGGGAGAGGGAGAGAGAATGCAGAGAGGGCAGAGATCAGCTTGGTACCCAGGTGACAGGGAAGGTTAGCACAAGGATAACAATCTCCACAGCTGTTTTCTATCAAGACTATCCCTTCCCCATAAAAGGGACCTCAGAAGCCAGTGCGGGGCGGCTCTCTGAAAGCTCTAGGAGAGGCGGCTAGCAGGCCAGTTCTAAATACAGCTTGCTTTAATCAGACCTTCGCAGAACTGGTTTTTTCCTCAGGTCTAACAGAAACCACAGCCATGAAGGAAGAAATCTCCGGCTTCCCTCCTTCGCATCTTTTCCCTTAACTTGAAAAGAAAAAAAAGAAAGACAGACAGACAGAAGAAACCCGTTCGTGTATTTCTGCAGTCGTCTCCTCAGATGGGAATTTGGCGGGCGCAGCTCCTGGTCCCCAGATTGGCCAGGCGCAGGGCATGAGCAGAGAAGCCCCACACACCCAGGTTACTACTGCAAGCGGCGCGGGGCGTGTGCGCATGCGCCACCCGGAGCCTGGGTTGTGGGTGCTGCCCGGAGAGCGCATGGGCAAACTGTCCGTCGGTTTGTCCCGACGGGAGGGCAGCGTGGGCGCCATCTTCCTGGGGGCTGCCGGGGGGGCTCGGCCGGCTGGGCGTGTGGCGGGCGCTCAGACTGGTCCCGGGGCGCAAGGCGGGGAGGGTGTGAATCGAAGGCCGGGCAGGCGGGGCCGGGGCGTGCGCGGCCTGTGCGGTTAGAGCCCCGCGCGCTCTCTGACTCCGACGCCCTCCGTCCGCCTCCCCGAGCGGGGTCCCGACGTCGAAGATCTCGGAGCCTCGCCTAGGTATTGCTTTTCTCGGCCGCGTCCGCGTGGGTAGCGGCGCGGGAGAGCTCGGCAGGCCGGTGTCCCCGGGCTGGAGGGGGGCAGAGCGGTGCAGTGAGGTTGGAAGCCGGTCCCCTTGGGCGAGCTGGGGTGGAGCGTTTGCGCTCGGGACAGCGGTCCCGGTTAATCTGACAGCCAATTCGGGCGCGGACTCTGGCGACAGCCTCGGATCCGACCTAGCAAGTTGGCCTGGCGGTAAAAGAAGGAAACTCTGATCTTCGGGAGCGTGGACAAAGGCGTCGGGCTGAGGAATCGATGCCTTCGAAGGATTCCCCATTGATGATTGATGGCGTGAGAAGTCGGTGCTCTGTGGATTCGACTTAACAGTTCCTGACCCGGGACTGTGACTCAATGTGGTCATGCATTTTTTTTTTTAATTTTAGTCACCTGCATTATAAAAGGCAGATTATATCAGAGACTATTTGTGGACTGGGGTAGATGGTCTGCAGGAAAATTCAAATTTACAATTTTAACGTTCTTCATATCTGGCCACTAAGACATAGTTGGAGGCATATAGAAAACTGCCTCCATTATCATGTCTGGAAAATGCCTTTATTTGATAGTTAAAATCAAGTGGATTAGAAATTAGGGCTCTTAAGTTCAGTGTCCCGTTTTTCTCCGACTCTTAATTAAAAGATACACACTTGCGGTCATTTAATTAAGACGGTGATATAAACGGAAGGATGACGTGGTTAAATTAGCCAGCTTGTTTAAAATGTGTTTATCATTAAATGAATTTTTAGGGATTGGCTTCCTGACATCAACACAGTCACTAATCACTTTGGCATTCATATCTGAACCGGGGTTAGTGTGTGTTTTGATTTTTGCGCAGTGGCATTCGAAACCAGAACAGGATAATTTGTGTTTCGACTTTAGTGCAGTCTGTTGTGCCAGTAGACTGTGGAGATCCTGAGGAAATAGTGTATTGTGAGAAGTACTTTGAGTCTCCTAGAGATAGTCTGATGTTACTGTCCTTGGACAGATAATGACATTGACCTGCTGTGGCAAGGGCAAAGAAGTCTAAACATTAACTTTTACTTGGCACATTAGCACAAACTAGGTCTCTTGGATTGGAATGCAATGGCCTCGTGCCTGTGAAGCTGCCTTTAGTTAAGACACTTAGGTAAGGTGGTTTTAAGCTAGGATGTGTTGTGAGAGGCATTTTTAATTTGGCGGGTACTTATTGCCTTGAAATGTCTTCGAATTCATGTACTTGTAGTTGAATTTATGTCCTCGGATTCCATCCCTCTTGAATTTAAAAAGTTTAAGGACAGAGAAAGTGGTGCTTACCATTTGCTCCCCAAAATATTTAAAGACTTAAAACGTAGCCAAGTCAGTTGACATAGGCCTCTTGGAATTTGAATGTGGACAGGTGTTTCAAGGAGCGTTTTTATAGTTTTTGTTGAAATGTTGGGTGTAAATATTAATTTGTTGAAATCAGGCTTACACTTTTGTTTGTACTGCAAAGATTTTAATAGTAAATCTCAATTTTAAAATGTAGTGTGTGCCATTATTTTTATTAACTTCTAGTTTAAGAAGTTTAATCTATAAGCCAGCTCCCCCTTTAAAGACAATCTTTCAAACTTGAAGGAATATATTTATGTACAGAGGTACTTAAGTTTAAGGGAACAAAACTTTATTTGCACATTAATATTAATTATGATTAATGTGGCACATTTGAAAAGTTATTTGGGAAAAAATGGGTGTCTGTAAAAGTGCTACACACTAGTATCCTTAAATAATACTAAGTTGAATTTTTTTTCAGTAATGAATGTTGGCAATCCCAAGATTCCAAATTGGTCTTTATTCTTGTTTACTTTTCTATATTATTATTAAGGTTTCTGTAATGTAAGTGTGTAGGGTAGTTTTTTGAAGTGGTTATTGGCATAATAAAATTTCAAAGTTGATATAGTTTTTGTTTTTTGTTTTCTTCGTGTCTGTGCTTGAGATGAGTTTTAACAGTCTACTGTTGTAAGCATATCGGAGAAGTGACATTGATTTTTTTTACATTTAGGGATGCTATCATGTTTGCCTTAATTACATTGTAATAATGCTTGTTTCTGTATTTGTGATATGTGGAATTTGTATCCAAATGGTAGCCATTGACTTGGCTTTCTTGCATAATTGCCAGTTTCTGAGCTTTGATATTTTTTATCCAGTATATCATTTTGAATTGTTGCTTTGTCTGACTTAGTAGTGTGTCTTGGAAGGGTGGAGAATGGCAAGGGAGTTGGACATAAGTCTGAACTACATGCTTGGGTCATCATTAGGTAAAATGATGGAAGGTCTTTAAAAATAAATGATTTTCAAGTCGATGTTTTACCTATAAAACAGATTTTTTTCTACAACTTCTATATCAGCATGTGATAAACCCAGAGTTTACTTAATGATGGAATTCAGTGAGTTTTGTTATATTTTATACACTCATGTAACCATTACTACACTCAAAATATCTATTCATACATTTTCATGCAAATTCCAATCATGTAGTATAATTTTCAGCATACATTTTTAGTTTTTAATACTTCCCAGCTGTCTGCTCTGGTTTTATACTTCTTTTTTGAAGAAGTATAATCAAGTTCCCTTTTTGGACAAATCATTTTGTAATGCCCACAATTTTCATGATTTATAGTGTTTCACTCTACTAGGTAATTCTGAAATGGATATCAGGCATTGAGATCAATTACAGAGTTCAAAGATTAATTATATTTCATTTTCTTTCCACAGTTAAGTTGCTTTTACAGAATTAACAGGTCTCCAAGAAATAAAAGGAAAAGGTAAGACTTCAGAGCTTACGGCTTTGCACAGAACCGTGACAGCATCAGATAGATCAGTGTGTCTTTGTACCTTGTTTCTCTTTCCGTAGCTGCTGAGTATCCTGAGCAGAAACGAACATTGACCATAGCTGGCTTTTCTGAATATGTAAACTTTATTATGGTTACTTACGGGCCAGGAGGAGGCATGTTTCTAAAGAGTCTGAAAGTAGTTTGATTTTGTTGTAAAACAGCATTTGGCAGACTTACAAGGGAAAAGTTGGTACTTTTGATGTTCCTATTGAATAGGATAGGTGACGTGAAGTGTTACTTTAAGGCAGTTGGTTTATCTGTATGTCTAGACAGGAGAAAGCGTATTTGTTTTCTTTAAGAATTAGCTAAGATCAGTTTTTTGCAAACTAGTATCTTGCTTCCACTTACTAATGCTGAAGGAAGCAGGAACCAGGTAATTATTAAGCTAGTTTGCGCTAAGGTGCTGCAAAAGTAAGTCTTGCTATTATGTGTACCTTTCTGTCTGCAGGTCATTATTGCTGTGGTTTGAGCCCAGCATGGCTGTAGTCATCCGTTTACTGGGGCTCCCCTTTATTGCGGGGCCTGTGGATATCCGTCACTTCTTCAAGGGATTGGCTATTCCTGATGGAGGAGTGCATATAATTGGAGGGAAAGTTGGGGAGGCTTTTATTATTTTTGCAACAGATGAAGATGCGAGACGTGCCATAAGCCGTTCAGGAGGGTTTATCAAGGATTCACCTGTAGAGCTTTTTCTCAGTAGCAAGGCAGAGATGCAGAAGACCATAGAAATGAAGAGAAGTGTTCGTGGAGGACGAGGGCGACTGGGATTGGGGGCATCAGGGGTCAGCAACCTGTGTCATTTTATTGATGCTGTGAAGAAAGAGGAGAGTCATTCTGGATATGGCTCTTCAGTTAACCAAGATGCTGGGTTTCACTCTAACGGTGCAGGACTTGATGTAAGGCCAAGAAAGACCAGGCCATTGAAGGCTGAGAACCCGTACTTGTTTCTACGAGGTTTGCCTTACTTAGTAAATGAAGATGATGTCCGTGTCTTTTTCTCTGGTTTGTGTGTGGATGGAGTAATTTTCTTAAAACATCACGATGGCCGAAATAATGGTGATGCTGTAGTGAAGTTTGCTTCATGTATTGATGCCTCAGAAGGTCTTAAATGCCATAGGAGTTTCATGGGTTCAAGATTTATAGAAGTAATGCAGGGCTCGGAACAACAGTGGATTGAATTTGGAGGCAGTGCGACTAAGGGTGGTGACATTCCTTGTCTGCGATCTGAAGAACATTCTCCTTCAAGAGGTATGAACGACAGACATTGCCGAAAGCCATCTCATTCAGAATCTCCTAGAAGAACACGTTCTCGCTCTCCTCTTGGATTTTATCTTCACTTAAAAAATCTGTCCTTAAGTATTGACAAGAGAGATCTAAGGAATTTCTTTAAAGACACTGACCTGACTAATAAGCAGATTAAATTTTTATATAAAGATGAACGAAGAACACGGTTTGCCTTTGTGATGTTTAAGAACCTGAAAGACTATAATACTGCCTTGAGTCTGCATAAGACTGTGTTACAATATCGTCCAGTTTTTATTGACCCAATTTCTAGAAAGCAAATGATGAAATTCATTGAATGCTATGAAAAGAAGAGACCAGGGTCACAGAAAGACTTTGAAGACGGCTACTCTGGTCAGAAACTGTACATATATATAAGAAATTTTCCATTTGATGTCACGAAGGGCGAGGTGCAGAAGTTCTTTGCAGACTTCCCCCTTGTTGAGGATGATATTTATTTGCTTTATGATGACAAGGGAGCTGGTTTGGGGGAAGCACTGGTGAGATTTAAATCAGAAGAACAGGCCATGAAAGCTGAACGTTTAAACCGAAGAAAATTCTTAGGGACAGAGGTGCTGTTAAGACTTATATCTGAGGTACAGATGCAGGAGTTTGGTGTCAATTTTTCCTTTATGTGCAGTGAGAAAACACAAGCCCGTTCCCAGTCACACAACAGAGATGACCGTTCCCATCTGTTTGCCCTAAATGACTCACCAGTATGCTCACTTGGCTGGTCCGAAAGGGTTGATTATCAGCTGGAAGACTTAAGGCATCCCCACAGGTATTTCCAGCAATCTGACAGGCACCCTCCAGAAGACTTCCTGCACTCTCCTGAGGACTTCCGGCACTCCCCGGAAGACTATAGACACTCCCGGGAGGAACACATGAGGCGCTCTAGGGAGGAAGACTGGAGACGGCCTCTGGAGGACTGGAGATGGTCGTCGGAAGATGATTTCAGGCACTCTTATGAAAAAGACTTTAGGCAGCTGCCAGAGGAGGACTTCATACGGCCACCTCAGGAGCACTTCAGGAGGCCATCCCAGGAGCACTTCCGACGGCCACCCCAAGAACATTTCAGGCTTTCCCGAGAGGAGTATTTCAGGCATGTGGCAGATGAAGGCTTTAGACACCCTTCTGATGAGGACTTCAGGACCTCCCAAGAAGAAGATTTGAGATGTCCCACTGATGAGGACTTCAGGCAGCTCTCTGGGGAAGACCTCAGGGATGTACCAGAGGAGGACCCTAGATTTCCTGATAGTTTTAGACCTCCTGGTGAGGATTTTTGGACCTCACCTGATTTCAGGGGTCATCGTCCTTTTATGAACTTTGGTCACCTAGACGGTGGCAAATTTGATTTTGGAAAGCATAATATGGGATGTTTTCCTGAGGGAAGATTTATGCCTGATCTAAAATTAAATTGTGGTTCAGGTAGAATAACTCCTGTTAAGATCACGAATCTTCCATTTAAAGCTAATGCTAATGAAATTTTAGACTTTTTCCATGGTTATAAAGTCATACCTGATTCAGTTTCAATACAGTATAACGAGCAAGGGTTACCTATAGGAGAAGCCATTGTTGCTCTGATTAATTATAATGAAGCTGTAGCTGCTGTTAAAGAACTGAATGGTAGACCAGTCGGTCCCCGGAAAGCTAAGCTCATTTTGCTATAGAGAGCCTCTCATCTCAGTTCGTAGTTTTCTTCCACAGTATTGATACAGTAAAAATACAGCCTTTTAAAAAGTTTATTTTTAATTACATAATTAACTATTTTAGTTTTAACCTGTGACTAGAGAAAATGTGTTATGTAAATCTGGTTTTCCTTTGCTTACAAATGGGCATTCTTCTCCATAATTTAAAATTACATATGCTCTCTTTTTCTTTGCTAGGGCAGAGAAAACAAATTTCCTGAATTCATTAGTTTCATTGATGTTATGGATAAACCCCAGTCTTGTGAAATGTGGGGTTATGTTTGGGGAAGGTAAATTTATCTTTAATTTTGTTTTCACCATTTTTTACTCAGACTGTCTAAGGAAATGACGGATGACTGGTTGTTCAGGTTGGCACTTTCATTGCTACCAGCTGCAGAACTCCCTTTTGTGTGAGATATTGTGTTAAAGTCTCCTCTTAACTCTAAATAGTTCAGAAAATGAACATACTGTGAACTTGAAATTTACTTATATGAAAGGCTTAGGAAATTCTCAAAATTTGTGTTCATAACTTTGAAAAGTTTTATAAAAATAAAATTGCAACTGAAATACTTATTAACTTGTATTTGTATAACAAAAGCAAAGACAGAATTGCGTCTGGGTATTATAAAAAATTTTCAACAGTTGTCTTAAAATTATATGGTAAACGGGACCAAATAATCTATAATACACACAGGTCTATAGTTTCTCCAATATTATTTTATCTTAAGCACTGGAGGCCTAGGGCTTATCCTAACTAAACTGCTAAGATTAACACAAAATGTTCAGAAGTCAGTAAAATAATTTGTTTAGGGCTAGAGGGGAACTCTCAGGCTGGCAAGATATGGCAAATGAATCTAGTTTTTCCAGGCAATCTACTGGTGACTCATTAGGTTTCCTTTTTAGATTCAAAATTTTGTATTCGTTCAGACTCACTAAATATAAGATGTCTGGGTGTGAATTTTGACTTTGATACTCAAATGTTTATATTTTGCTTATACTCAACTAGATTTTCCTTACCTTAAATAGAAGTAGCTGACAATGGACACATAATTTATTAGGCAGTAAATGCTTTATATGTATGGTTTCTATTATCTTTTTAATGTTATTCTTCACAAATAAGAAATGAAGTTTAGAGAGGTTAAGCCAGTTGCCTGAAGTTAACACGAAGTCAAGGAACCGATCTTAACCCCGTAAGGAGATTTCTGATCATACCATGTCCACAAATATCTTCCTGTGTCACTCGGTTACGTGGTATTTCTACTTTAGTAAGATCATGATAAAAAAGTATTTTCAGTTGTAAATTCTATTTCCTTTCTTTGATTTATTTTTAAAGTTACATTTAAAGTATGACACTTAAACATTGTTAGCGAAATTAAAGAGAAAAATGACTTAAGAATTTAGTTTCTCTTGGAATATATATATATATATTTCCAAGTCAAAGTTCATTTTTTATAATTCATGATTTTTATAGTTTAATATGAAACAAAGTTTTACCTACTTCCTTCATCCAGACATTTCCCACAGAGTAATTGTGAATAAATCTTTTTTTTAAATATGGTGTATTATTTAGCTACTACAGAAGTAGAATACTTTAAGTATTTTGAATTAACATTTGGTGATATAAAGAAATCTAAGAGAAGCCTGCCTAAGTTTTTGTTTTTAATAGTTAATAATTAAATAGAATTGATAAATTATGTTAAAAAAGCACATTCTGAGTCCTAAAACTTGAAAACCTAAGCCAAGCACAGTGATTACATAGCTGGTTTATTTGATGAGATCTGCCAGACTGTAAATACACTTTCTAGATGAGTACATGGAGATACAACTAAGATAAAGCTTCTTAACAGCATCCTCAGCTGCCTGGTAGATGAACAAACACTTCTGGGACTGTTTTTCATATCTTGTAGGAGTAAGTTTCCTCTCTAGACATGTTTTACTATTTTTATATACATTCTGAACAGAAAAAAGTATGACTTGAATGCAAAAAAACACTGGCTATCATTACTACTAAGCCTTGCCACTGAATCTTAATTTTCACTAGAGATGCCAAATTATGGGCTATTTAACACGTTTAGCTTTTGTTGTCAGGGCCTCATCATGCATGCTAGGCTAGTGCTAACTCCCAGCCCAGTTTCCGCATTCTTAAGTGTACTTAGATCCTAAGTACATGGCTGATTTTGCCTCGTTGCCCACAAAAAGTAAAATTTGGTCTAATATTCCTTTTGTTTTTATATACATGTTTGTTTATAATTTTTTGTTGTTGTGTTTTTGAGACGGGGTTTCTTTGTGTAACAGCCCTGACTATTCTGGGACTCACTCTGTAGATCAGGCTGGCCTTGAATTCACAGAGATTCACCTGTCTCTGCCTCCTGAGTGCTGGGATTAAAGGTGTGCACTGATGGAGAAAGGTCATTGGTTAAATAAAAAGAAACTGCTTGGCCCTCATTGGTTAGAAGATAGGTGGGAGGAGTAAACAGAACAGAACGCTGGGAGGAAGAGGAAGTGAGCTCAGACACCACAGCTCTCCTCTCGGGAGCAGATGCCTCAGAGAGATGCCATGCTCTGCTCTCCCGGGCAGACGCACGTGATGAAGCAAGCCGCCAGGTTAGACATGCTGAACCTTTCCCGGTAAGACCGGTGCTCACAGATTATTAGAGATGGGTTGATCGGGATGTGAGAATTAGCCTGTAAGGGCTAGAGCTAAAGGGCCAAGCAGTGTTTAAATGAATACAGTTGTGTGTTGTTATTTCGGAGCATAAGCTAGCCGAGCGGGGTGCTGGGGATGCAGCCCCGCCACACTCATATTACTACAGTGCACCACTACCACCTCCTCCTCACCTTTTTTTTTTTTTTTTTTTTTTTGGTCTCATGTAGCCCATGCTGGTCCTGAACTCAGCGGAAGCCAAGGATGACCGTGAACAGCTGATCCTCCTGCCACTGCCTTCTAAATAGCTGGCTAACAGGCTTGCGCCCCGCATGTGTGGGGGCAGTTTCTGAAAGCACAGCTGTCAAAGCACACCTGTTTCTGTGTTAGGTGCTGACTTGGCAGATGGGGCAGGTGCTGCCTGAGAGAAGTCCCTATCTACTGAGCAGCACAGGAATACCATAGCTGTTTCCCCTCTCCGCTCTAACATCAGATCTGAATACTGACCAAGAATATAAAAACCAAGTAACAATCTAGAGCTTTAAAAGTACTCTGAGAAAAAGTACCAAAGCAATCTTATAAGTATTCTCAGGAAGAAACACTTCAAATTTTTCTGTTTTGAATAATTGCTTTGAGATTCATAAAATCATAATTGTTTACCCAAAGAAAAAGAAATGTCAGATGTAAGGAAAATCTGGATTTAGGAATAAAGTGTCTGCATGTTTCCTGACTACGGTGGCCTAGGCAGAGCGCGCTCAGAGGTTTGCAGCACGCTGTGATGAGGGAGGCAAGATTCTAGCACATCGCTTGTCTTCCAAGTGTCAAACTTGTACAATGCACAGGGCTTCAGAGTGAGAGCAGGTTTGTTTTTAAAGCCAGTATGGCTGACTGTGGCCTTTTTAGCTGGAAATTTAAGTGTTATGTACATTTATAAAGGTATGTCTTATACCTTTATTTAGCTACATTTTCGCTGAAAACACTAAATTTACACACCAAATGATGAAACAAGGTTGTAATTAAAAGAAACAATCTTTTTACTTAAGGCATTATGGCATACAGTTATTAACTGACCTCTTGCTATTTCAAACCTCAAGTTTGAACCTAAAAGAAACTATCCAACCTCTGTCACCTGCCTCCCTTTCACATCTTCAATAGGTTACATAAACTGCATTACATCTGAAATCCATGAAATACATAGTCCAGTTTTAATAGTACATATACAGAAAGATATGCTACTATAGATAGCATGTTGAAAGACTGGTATGAGCTGGGCGGTGGTGGCGCACACCTTTAATCCCAGCACTCAGGTGGCAGAGGCAGGCAGAGCTCTGTGAATTCCAGGCAGCCAGGATACACAGAGAAACTGTTCTGAAAAACAAAACACCCCCCTTCAAAAAAAAAAGACTGGTATGTAACATTAAAGAAACATCATTTTTTGTGTTTCATTTTTTGTGTGAGCATAATTTTCTTTAATCCCGCCCCCCATTTCATAGCAGTACTTCATTTGAAGTTTAACCTGTCAGTGAGTGTGATGTGATCCCAGATTCCGCCACTTAACATGAAACAGAAATGTGAGTTTCTAAGATTAGTTTTCATCTTCTGTCACATCTAACTCTTCGTCATCTTCATCTTCGACTTGTTGGTCCTTTCTTGTTCGACAGGTGGTTATCTGTTAAGAATTAACACATGAAAGAATAAAAAAAAATGCTTTTCCACATTTCGCATCTTACATGTCCTTCTAGGAAAGGGTGTATAGAACAACTATTTCAGCAAGGCTGAAGTCTCCCTTTATCAGTGTATGTGAGGGTGACCGTGTTTGATCCAGCAGTGACTTCAGGAACCATCACTGGGCCGTGAATGCTGTGTCTGAATGAGAGCCGTCAAGTGGATGGAAACCAGATGTCAATTCGGCAGCAATACTGATGGTGGAAATGTGGGGTGAGCTGAGAACCAGCTCACCAGCTGCACATCTTTTTCTTCCTCAGCTGTCTCACTAAAACCTCTGAGGGTGATCTGTGCCACCCAGGAGACGCGGGGCCACGTCTGAACACCAGCGGTGGTCACACTGTGATGCATTGCTACTGACCGATGATGCTCAACACCTTACAGTATACAGACCCCCAGGTCCCTGATCTCAAGTTAGGAAGGCTGCGTATTAAAAATACCCTACTATACACGATTTAGTTGTAAATAAATTTTTATATGGAATATAAAGACAATTTATGGAGTTGCATGTGTCAAGGCTGAGATAATAGAAATGCCATTTGGCTGGGGCAGAGATGACATAAAGCAGGAACAATGCACGGACTCCAATGACAGAAGTTTTATCTTTGGCAATTTTGCCTAAAATTATATTTTGAGATTGTTTAATTTTAAAATTCTGAGGCAATATCAGATTTGGCACATTACAGTTATGGTTTTGACTGTTGATCTAAAGAGCTATGGGTCATGAATTATGCCTAGGAAAAACCACTTTCAGGTGTATTTTCTACACAGATGTTCACTGAATTTGTATTGATACTAGACACAGCAAATCTACATTTTCATTTTCTGTCTTTGCAGCCATCTCTTCAGTGTGCTGCCTCACTGAGTAAGGAGAGCATAATCACAGACATTTCCACCATTCCAGAGGAGACAGCATGGGGGGAACGTAGCAAGGGGGCAGCCCTTGTAGTTAGTACCCAACAGTTCCAAAGGCAAGAACTCAAATTTCTTTACCATTTTTTTGCTCACCTGTCCAGTTCCAGATGCGCACTTAGTTGATACTGATCTCTGAAGAGGTGACTTTGAATTTGCTCTTACAATATCTAAACGAGATGGATAATCTGGTAGATACAGAGAATTTCGGAAAACCTATTGCAATGTAAAACAACATTATAAAGTCGATGCTATATGAACATCTAGATAATC